TATAGCTTGAATATTTTATTGCGATTGTGTTGGTCTGGAAAACGATGAGACGATTTCCCCTTGGTTTTCGAGGAACAGGGGCGGCTTTCAAAGTGGGGGGGGGGGGGGGCACCAACAAAAAAGGGCACTTTCTGGAAAAAAGGGCACCTACAGTGGGAAATCTCAAAGCGAAAATATACAATTTTTAGACATTGGTATATACCCCTACATTGTGATTACATTATCAGGGATGATTTCAATATTTGTTTCTCTTCATACATCATACAAGATATCGCTTAAGCATCAAACTTTACAGTTGGGTGTGATGTCTGAATATGCATTTACGAGCGAGCGAAGCGAGCGAGAAAATTTTTAAAGATCTGTGAGGTCGCAGTGCGAAAAATTACATCTTATAAAGAGGAAAAAAGCCAATCGTGATGGGGTTATAAGCACATTCTCATAACGGAAGACTGAAAAGACCTTTGATAAGTAACATAATTATATAATCTTTAAATGCGAGCGAGCGTAACGAGCGAACTTTGGGGGAAACTGCTCTTAGTCGCTTTAAATAAGGGGCACGTTTAATGATTACATGAAAAGGGGACAATTATCGAAAGGGATAAGACAAGAAAAGGAGCACGTGTATAAGTACAAAGGATAATTATAAGAGGTGAAAATGAGGCATTTTTTCACTTGAAAAGAGGCACTCACCAGTGATGAAAAGGAGGCGTTTACGAAAATGGGAAATAGGCATTTGTTGACGGAAAAGGGGCACCCATCAGATTTTAATAGGGTCATTTATAAGAGGTGAAAAGGGGATAGGTCCCTTATTAGAAAGGAAAAGGGGCACGTATCATTATTAAAAGGGGAATTATCAGAGTTGCAAAGGGGCACTGACCAGATATGAAAAGGGGCACTTATGAAAATGTAAAAGGGGCACTTATAATAAAGGAAAATGTGCATTTGTTGAATGAAAAGGGGGCACCGTTCAGATGTTTAAAAGGGGCAGTTATGAGAAGGGGAAGGGGAAGTTATGAGAAGGGGAAGGAGCTCTCTCTTTTTAATGGGGGCACTTATCATAAGGAAAAGGGGTACTTATTAGAAAGGGAAAGGGGAAGTTATGAGAAGGGGAAGGAGCTCTCTCTTTTTAATGGGGGCACTTATCATAATGAAAAGGGGCACTTATTAGAAAATAAGAGGGGCACATGTTAAAATGAAAGGTGCGCTCATCCGAGTTTTAAAAAGGGGTAGTTATTAAAAGGAGAAGGAGCACTTCTTACAAAGGAAAAAAGGGGAAGTTGTCAAAGTAAAAAGAGCACCTCTCAGTTTTGAATAGGGCAATCATCAGAGGTGAAGGGGGCACTTATTAAAAGTGAAAAGGGGCACTTCTCGTACCTGAAAAGAGGCACTTACTAGAGATTAAAAAGGGCACTTATTCAAGATAATTTCAAGATTCATGAGAATGGAAAATGAACATTTATTGCAAAGGAAAATGAGAAAATAAAAAGGGCACTCGTCAGAGGTGAAAAGGGGAAGGGGCACTTTTACTAAGTAATAGGGGCACTTGTCAAAGTAAAAGGGGCACCTTTCCTATGTAAAAGGGGCACTTCTTACAAAATAAAAGGGGCACTTTTCCTATGTAAAAAGGGGCATTTTGGGGGTATCTGAAAAAGTGGGGGGGGGGGCACTGTGCCCCCCTGCCCCCCGGGAGGGCCGCCTCTGTCGAGGAACAATAATTATTACACCCAAACACTTAGCAATACACCATGTTTGACGTGTATTGCATACAACGCGCGCGCCCCTCGCTTCCTGTTTTCCCGTAATATAGCCATCCTAGAATGCATATTAATATTTGAATATATGAATATTTGCGTTGATACGGTGAGGTGGAGATCAAATTCAAAATTAAGTCGGCCAGATTCTGGACTAAATTAACCAGTATGTCGCAATGATTATGGACAAGTTACTATCTGGGTAGTCATTCGTTTATGGTAAGCCTCTCGATTTTGTCGCAATGTCACTTTTTTTAAAGTAAACTTAGCTTTGCATTTGTAATTTTTGTATGAAATCTCATATTTGATAAATTATCGCATATTATGTGTGCGTGCGTATCATGAATATTGATGAATAGCGCATGACGTATAGGTCCTATTGAGCCAATTAAATGCAGCGACAAGATGGCTATATTACGGGAAAAAAGACGCGCGCCGCTCGCTACATCAGTTCTTCTTGCGATATGTCACAACCCGGAAGTTTTGAAGTGAAATTTTGACAACATGTCATTTTTCCTAAAAATAGATCAAACATGGGTTATTGGGTCTTGTTTAAATTTTAGGTGGTTGTTTTGGGAGTCAAAATAGTTGAATCGTAGTTAGAAACGAAATAAAACAACAAAAAACAATGAAATACAAGTGAAAATATCAAAACAAGGAATAACATAAGGAATAAGCTGGCTCTTCCAATTTTGTTTTGTCGTTTTATTATTCAGAATGGTCTAATGAATATATGTAATGAAAAAGAATGCATAAATATGAATAATATAATGATTGATGGGTAAAAATGTGATTTTTATGACCTTATTTGCATAAATTACCATAAATATGCAAATGAGTTAATTATAGTATTCTATACACTTCACTTGACATGCGTGCAAATTTTCGCGGAGATCGGCCGCTTCACGGCCGAGATCTTATGGGGGGGGGGGCCATAATGCCCCCCCCCCCGGCCGTACTAAGACCTCAAATTGCCCGGCCTTTTTAGGGTTAAGGGGATGTCACTTGTATAGCAGTCCTCTATGTCGGCGTGCAAATCTAAAACTCTTACCCCAGAAGAGCACCAACTTGGATAATAGCAGGTGACTGAAATGCTTCATCACCACATACACAACTGAGAGGAAAGCATCCATAAATTTGAATACATTTACTTGATAAACAGTTTCACATAGTACGTCACGTTATCGAGAAAATGGCGATGTCCATGTCGTGCTGAGAAACTATACATTATTCTTGCTTAATTATGCCTTTCTCATACACTTTGGTGGGAATCTTGTAATGGGCAAGAATGCGATAAATCTTTTAGAATAATTAGTAAAGTTATTTCTTGGGGTGATGTTTCCTTTAATTTTTGCAGTTGTAATATCTCGAATGAAAAGCCAAATTTAGGTAGAACAAAGAGGAATGAATAAAAATCAGGGCCAAGACCCGAATGAAGCCGTGCATACGTGCGCTTTCACGTCGGCTCATTAATTTCCGGGTATGCTTCTAAAAACAACATGTCCTGTCGGGGCAAGGAAACAATCGCTTTTTCAGATTGTAAACGATGTTTTAGACACTTTATAGTGACATAACTAGACCATGATTATACCCTTGAATTTAGACACGTGTAACGGGCTAATACCCAGAGGTGTACTTATCAGACCTCTCCCCGGAACACATGTCACATTTGGAAAATGGAATACCCTGGATATATTGGTGCACGTTGTACAATCCTCCCTCTCTCTCTCTCTCTCTCTCTCTCTCTCTCTCTCTCTCTCTCTCTCTCTCTCCTCTCTCTCTCTCTCCCTCTCTCTCTCTCACTCGGTCTCTCTCTTCCACTCGCTCTCCCTCTCTACCTCGCTCTCTCTATTACACACACTCTCTCTCTCTCTCTCTTCCACTCTCTCTCCCACTGCAGCATGACTCGTATTTTGCGCAATGTCATGCAGTGATTAGAAAAATAAATGTCTTTTAAAGGGGAATTAATCCTTTCGACATCTTTAATTTGTTGTATATTTGTTTTGACCACTAATAACAATGGAGAAATGGGCTACCCTGGATATATTGGTGCACGTTGTAGAATTCTCTCTTTCTCTCTCTTTCTCCTCAATGAATATGTAACAATTAAAGTCATTTTTGCGCATGTAATGATGTCATAATAGCCTAAATGTATTTTTGAATGAGAATTAACCCTTTAGACAATGTTTGCTTAAGTTTTTTTTTTTTTTAACTCTGACCACTTGTACAGTGGTAAAAACCTTTCATGGATAATGTATTGCCCACCTTGTCCAAATATCTTTCCCTCTTTTTCTCTCTCTCCTCCACCCCCCCTCTCTCTCTCTCTCTCTCTCTCTCTCTCTATATTTCCAGTAGAGCAACTGAAGGAATACGTGCATGATCACTCAGTATTTTCACATGTTATGAGTACAAATATATGTATTGATTCTCTCTGAGCACCGTTTTCTTCTTCTTATAAAGAGTTGCGATAGATTCGAATCAAATGCAACTTGAAATTAATCGCAACTGTGTACTTAAGAGATAGGAGTTGCGATTGATTTTAAAGCTTATCTGCCGTAGTTTACAGGAGGGATTAGACCACTCTGCAAGGTCACTGGACAGGTGGTTATCTCATCAACTCAGCTCTCAGTTAACATAAGAAAGAGAGGATCATGGGGGACCAATGGTCACCGATTAGGCATCGTTTGTTTTATAGAGGGAGCAAGTAGCTACCAGTAGTGCAGTGGGCCTTTAAGTTGGGATTGGTTTATATCCACTCTTGTACAGGGCTCTGTTCTGTAACTCTTTGGTCTGCTGTACTCTCTTTCTTCCTACTCTACTAACTCATCCTCTTATCCCTCTTGTTCTCTCGTTTTCTCTCTCTCCCTCGCTTTATCTCTTTCTTTGTCTTGTAAATACCTCTCTCTTCTCCTCTTGCCAACATGTATTCATCTCGCTTTCTGTCTGATGTTCCTCTTAATATATTATTTATGTCCATTTTCTCAAAGTTGCACTTACAAATTCTACACTACTCATTATAGCTATTCTAGTGGATATGGTACTCACCGTGGCACTATATAACGTCCTTTGGCAAGACAGTAATCTATATTTACCCAGGGAGATGAGAGTTTCAACCACTCTCCGTCCAGGTGTTAAATGGGTAACCGGTATAGGGTGCGAATGTTGATACGAATGTGTGGTTGGATTGGCATGTGTGTGTTCGTAAAATGGCGCCTGGTCGGAACACTAAGAAGGGAGCGGAGCATGTCATCATTTGCGAATTAGCAATTTAATCCAATGACCGGGGTAATAAGAATTACAATGTAAAGCGTTAAGAAACATATTAAGCGTTTTACAAATGTGACTATTATCATTCTATGTATTTCGTTCTAAAAAAATTCCACATTTTCCCACTCCAATCATTTTCTGTAAAGATGAGATAAGCATCAGCAATTCAAATGTCAATGTTACAATAATTATTCATTAATCTCCTTTAAGATAAAAACAAAAACAAAACACATACCGATATATACCTAAATAGATTATCAATGAAATTGCATATCAAATACTTTTCAAAAGGATAACTTTAGCAAAAGAAAAGTAAAGATTTTTGAATAGGCCTATTACTTAGATCTGGAAATCAAAACATCCAGAACACCTTTTTAATCCTCAAAAATTCACCGATGCTATGAAAGATTGTTTCTTTTAAAAGGTTTTAGCTTCTGAAAGAGCATTATACATGACAGAGAGAGAGAGAAAGAGAGAAATGAAAATAGAACAAGAATATTTTGTAATGGTTTACGCGATACTCGTGTGACACAATAATGGCACATGCCAGAATGGTAAGCATTTCATATCCCGTATCTTTTGTTTAAGATATTCGAATTTCAGGTCATGCATTGTTTTATTATTACGTTACTTCAGTCAACAATTAGTACTAGAATATGAAAATAAATACTGTGTTACAAAATAAAGAAGGATAATGGTAGATTTACATCATTCAGCCCGTGAATATAAGTCTACTTGACTGTAAAGGATTATGATAGTTGTGTGATTCCAATCTAAATTCATTTTCATAAACAAGTTGATTGATGTAAGGCTATCTATCTGTCTGCTGCTATGCAAGATATACGTCGTGTATACCGTGTCTTCATATAAACGATTAATTACTTATGTACTGTCTTTGTTTCTGTATGTATTTAATCCTGTATTGCGGTTATTATGGGTAATATATTACATCATCATTATTATCATTTCTGAAAATTCCCAAAATATGATCAATACCCCAATGAATAACATTCTATTCAATTCTTTACAACCTGACTCGTAAACAGTGAAGAAAGAATATAAACTTTATTATGAAGGTATTAAAAAAAGAAATTGTATAGAGAGTTAAATTTCGCATGAAGGGGTGCTGGAGGTGGATTACATCACCTCTTAAGAAAATGCAAAGTAGTTTACACGTAGTCAAAGTTGTAAAAATAGAGAATAAATCATTGAGTATAAAAGTATCTATATATGGAGCCACAAGTTTCTATTTCACAGTTACAATCGTACACGTTGCTATGTACCGTTTAGATCTGAATGGTTATATTAGCAATTAAACATTTTTTCTCTACAAAACGCTAACATATGCCCATAAAAACAAAAGCGGATTATATTGTTACTTAGTTTTCTATTTGCATCTAACGCTAGTTGCACACGAGGTTTAATTTTGCTGACGCAGTTCCTGACGTGAGATGTGAAAGTAACATCGTAGCAAAATAAACGGTGCACACATTACTTTGATTCTCTAGTGTATTGACTAAATGAAATTAAAGCCTTGATTGGCGCAGTAAATTATACAGTAGAAATGACGCCTCGTGTGCAAGGGGGTTAGTTTGCATCAACATCATTGAAACAAAAATATGTCCTAATCGTCTTCCTCGTCGTCCCAATCGGAATCGTCGCTGACATCACTACCAGTCTCCTCATCGGAGCTGAGTTCGACCGCGATCCGTCTTCGTAGGATAGCTTCTACGCTGTTGTTCTCGGGCTCGTTTGGTCGGTCTCTCACCTTAATTTCCACTCGGCGAAGTTTCATGCCTGCAACCATATCAATTTATATGATATAAATTATTAGTTAAAATTACTGTGATCGACTTTGTATTTTGTTAAGACGCTTGAAACTATGGCGGATCTATAGGGGCACTAGGCACCCCCCCCCCCAAAAAAGAGGGGGAAAATCTTGCATACTTTAACTACATGCGAATTACAAAAGATAAATATGCCCTAACCCTCCAAGCTGCAATTTCGGCCCCCAAATGGACCTAAATAAAACAATACAATCTTAATTAAAGAACAGAAAGAGGTTTAGGCAAAGAAGTGATTTATAGATAAACCCCTAAAAAAGTATGGTAAGTCAAGTTTGATCGATTGTATCTCTCTTGTCAGATATATAACTATCGCCTGTTTAGTACCATTACAAAGTATGTTTATTCCTCCCATTATGATACGATTTTACTGGCTATGGATTGAGCAGTACATCAGAATAAGGAGCAGGGTCAAAAGTGAAAAGTTGCAAAATGCATTGGTAAGCACTGGTATTGTTATGCAATGGAGTGTTACACAGCATCCCTACACTCTTCAAAGAAAGAAGAATGCACAGCCGAACAAAGAGATGTTCATTTTGCAACATGTCACTTTTGACCTTGTCCCGTATTTGGATGTAATGCGTATTCCACGACTGGAAGAAAAAAAAATCATAACGAAAGGGGTATCATTTCAAAGAAGAAGAAACACGCTTTCTTATATCAATCAACCTTGAGTTTACAAACTCTTTTAAAGGAGTCTATAAAGAACTCGCAGTATGAGGTAGGAAGTGTACCGCAACATTTACATATTAACGGATGAGCTGCATGAAGTCACGTTCAATTAAATTGTAGGATGTGGGTGAAGATAACAAGAGCTGAATTTCTTTTTTAATTGGATTTATTTTCCACTAAACATGAAATGAAAGTGTACAGAATGGTACATTTACAATCGAATTTCGCGATACTCTGTCACTACTCAAGATAGTCATTTGACCTCAATTAGACTAATCGTGTTGCATGATTCTAGGTTTGTGGGTTAAAACAAATGTTATTATACCTGACTTTATTGCTGATAAGAGATCATCTCGTGCCCCCGTGACCTGGGACACAGCAGTAGTAGGTCTGGGATTGGTGGTCACACTTGTCTGTCTTTGAATTGGGGGTGGTAGTGGTGGAGCTCCAGCAGCTGAATAATGATAATAATCACAATATTAACAATAATACTGATGGTGATGATGATGATAATGATGATGATAACTGTACCTTGTCCTTTACGTGTAATTGGCATTCCCAAAACAATCATTTTGCTTTCCTCGTTTTCGCCTCTTGCTCGTTTGATTTATTCACTGTACCGTTCCATTCTTTTATACAATCGTTGTCAATGAGAAGGAAATAAATGGGACATTCTATTCAATTGAATTCTAGTCAATTCAATTGAATTCAATTCAATTCAATTCAATAATGATAATAAGGATGATATATTGATACTGATAACAAGAAGAAGAAAAAAGGCGGAGAACAACAACAACAACGACAACAACAAAAGAAAACAACGGACAAAACATTGATGTTGGTCATTAGAAAATGCTCATGACCGACCAATTGCAATTTATGTTGACTGTTTACGCTGTACCTGGAAGGGGCGGAGGTGGGGGAGGTGTAGGGCCAGCTGAAGAAGGTAAAGGTGGTGGAGGGGCCGGTACTGGTGGAGCACCTGGTATCCCCGATGACGGGGGTGCTACGTAGCCGCTAACAGGCGGGGGCGGCGGCATGTCTCCTACCTCCGAATACGGGTTATCGTAATCCAGTGGAGGAGGAGGGGGAGGTAGGGACATCTCGCTTGAATTTTGCACGCCTCCTTTCGATATTGGCGCCGGAGGAGGGCCGGGTGCAGGGGGCGGTGCCATGCCTGGTTTGCGAATGGATTCAGGCGTTTCTTTCTTTCGGGTTTTGGTAGGACCGGCCAGATGGGAGTTTCCTTTGCTGCTTTTCTCCTCCTCTCCAGAATTGTCATCTTTTGCTATTGAAGTGGTACCGGAGGATGCCTTTTCTTGGGCCCTTTTCTCTCTCTCCATTGCTGCGAATTCTTCCCCTAACGCACGGTCTTTGTATTTCTCCTTCGTTGTCAAAACTTTCTTGGGTTTGCTCATATTGCTAGAGTGTGGTCTCTTCTGTTGTGGAGAAACAACATATAGGGCAGGTAAAGATGAGTTTAAAATGAAGAATTACTTTTCAACTAGTTGGATCTGAGGCTAAGCATCCGTCTAGTCATTGGAAGGGGACATGTCACTTGCCGTTAAGAACAGGGGGTACATTAATGTAAAAAGTAACAGAGTTATCTTTTGTTAAAACCTATATACCCCTCCCCCTTCTGCTCTCTCCCCCGACCCCCCCCCCCCCAAAAAAAAAAAATCCATGCATCTCTCTCTCTCTCTCTCTCTCTCTATTTGTTCTCTATTTCTCTCTCTCTCTCTCTTCTCTCTCTCTCTCTCTCTCTCTTTCTCTCTCTTTCTCTCTCTATATCTCTGTTATCTTTGATGAAATCGGAGCTTGGCATCGAAACCAAGGCCTATACCTTTTTCTTCTTTTTCTTCTTGTCGATGTCTTTGTGTTGTTCGTTTTTCCATCGTTCGAAGAAGAACTTGGGGTCCGTGTACATCTTGAGCCCATCCTTGCCATCTTGTCTAGAATCATGAAGAAAAAATTAGATAATAATAGCTTAATTGAATTATCTCTCTACTGAGCATGGAGTAACAACGTACCTGAGAATAATGTTACCATTGTATAATCATGTTCAGAGGATTGGAATATGTTGTAAACAGTATTATTCATCTTCAGGGCTTTTCCAATGCACAATATTCTGCTTTCGTGCTCGCAAGCAGTCATCTGATTTATTCAAAATTTATTTTGATTTAACTCATTGACATATAAACAGAATATTCCTCTCCAAATACATGTTTGGTTGGCCTATGACACAAGAGGCATTCATATATTATGGCTGGCAAGACGTAAAAAATAATATTCGAGTTAATTTGTTGTCTTATTGTATTGATGTTTGCCCTTTGTTTGTTTGTTGATGTGTTGGTCAGTTTGTTCGTCGGTTGATTTGATTGATATACGTTCTTCTTAATTTAAATGTATCAACTTAAAGGGACCTGGTAACATTGTTCAGAAGAGAGAAAATGGTGCTAAGGTAGTGACTTCAATGCTAAATGTACAATTAAAGATAATCTGAACGTTTGAGTGAAAACAGATCATTATTAATGATAAAAATTAGAAAAACTGATCTGATCGATTCCTTAATTCTCCCAACTATATTATTACAATTTCATAACATTTTAGGATAATTTTAATCATCTCAAAGCAATGAATCAGCTCTATACCATTCCAGACATGTAAGTGTTGAAAAACAATGTCTTATGTCTTATTTTTATGGAAAGACAGTTGGGGAAATTCAAAAATGGTTGGGAGAGTTTACTGTTAGAGGGTGTCGCACAGTGACGCCTTCAAAGAAAATCATAAATATCTTTGTGGTTTGAGAATTTGTTAAGGGTTTTTTGCATGTGAGAGGGTTCAGGCTGAGGGTTAGTAGCATTTCATTCAAAACTACGCATTTTTTTCTTCATTAACCTTTAACAATGTTACCGAGTCACTTTAGGAGTTTTAAGAGAATGGGAAGTTTCACCTGAACTGGTTCAGCTTTGATAATGGAGGGGTTTGCTCACATCGCGTATATGTCGCTTTCATGGCAGAGGGCATCGTGGGTGAAGAAACGACCTCAGCGTCAAGAATAAGAGAGCTCTGGAAGGCCAATCTGGTGTTGATGTCCCGTAGAGACACTGCAAACACAATATGAACATTCTTACTTTGATTTTTTTTCTTCAAAGAATAATCTTGGTCATGACGGTGAATCCAGACATTGAATTTCACAAGGGGATTCATATTTCCGTTTATTCAGGCAAATTTCTGGGATTCTGAGGCATCCATTAACATAGCTGTCGTCATTGACAAAAGTTGCAAAGGTCTTGGGTTCGAACCCCTGCACTCGATAGTGGATATTGGAAAGTGGAGGAGTGGCATTGTTTCACCAAAAGAAACTAAAGAAGGCGGGAAAGACAAGCCGTAGGAAATACGAGAATGTATTTATGACGAAATTTCATTGTAAATGATTATACTGAGGAGTCAATAGTATTTGCTTCGTTCACGATATTTGAAAAAGGGAAGGTTGATATTTGGCCATGGAGCCAGTTAAACTCACCACATTGTTCCCTTACACCTAACATGTAGTAAGGGTTGTCATATTGTTAGGGATTTACTTAAGAGATTTAAAACTTCCTTATTTATAATCAGATTTTACTTAAACTCTGTCTGGCCCGTTTCTCTAATTGTTATAACAAGCACTTAATGTGAAGGCAACCCCCCCCCCCCCCCTTGAGATATGTTGTGTATAAAAGGGGCGTCAGCGTCAAGAAACAAAAGGGGGTCAAAAAGATTAAGAATGGCAAACCCTCTCCTTATCACATGAATATTGCTCGGGCCTCGGGGGCATCATGTTTGTCCGTCGGGCTGAATGAGTGCTTGCCCAGCCCATTTTCGAATTCAAGTGTGTGCAAAATGCTAATTGGAAGTTAATGTATAGGTCTTTAATACTAACTTAGAAAAAAGGAAAGACGGCCCTTTCTCGCTTCGCCCCTAGACCTGATGTCCTCCCTCTTTCTCTCACCCTCAACATTCTCCCTCCCCTTTCTCTCTCTCTCTCTCTCTCTCTCTCTCTCTCTCTCTCTCTCTCTCTCTCAATTTCTATTTATGGTTTGTTTAATTATACGTAGACACCTTTCTTCTTCTTTTTCCTAATTCTCATCCCTCCCCACCCTCTATTCTTTTTCAATATTAGAGGGGCAATATGGGAAATACTAATCATTGGTCTACAAACTATTGTACAGTCAGTGAGGGTAATTTTAGTTCCAGGTTGGTGGTTATTTCTTGTGAGTTGGCACGATTTTCTGTTTACCTTTCGTAAGACTTATTGACTCAAGACTTCGGGATGGTATGAGGGGAGTTTCCCCAAAAGCCTATGTCTAGGCTGTCATAAGGAAGTAAAATTGCGGCATTGTATTATTGTTCGTATGACTATATCATCGTTTCGAAAAATGAATAGATAGGAACGCATCGGAAAGGCTCGGGGAAGCTTGGTGAAAAGTACTTAAACTTCGCAAAAATAAAATATCAAACCAAATAATTTCTTGTATAGTCTCTTCAAATTATACTCAGATATGTAACTTAAGTCCCGGCTATATTTTTAATTTTAAGTCTAGTCTTCGTCAAGTTGATTGGTCAATAGTGTACAATTCCCAGAATGCTGATAATGCGTCTGAGATCTCAAGTTCAATAATATTTTCCACATTACTTTTGAATGAAAAAAGCCACTTACAAAGACAAATATTAATAACTAGAAAATACCCAGGTCGCCCTGAATAGCCAAAAGTATTTTGCGATTAATTAATGAACGATTAAAAAAAAAGTACTGAATGGGCTATTCAACACTAAATGCAATAAGTTCATCTTTATGAAAACAGAGCAGAAAAATAAGCTAAACAGAATGGCGAAAGTTTGAAAGAAATCGAACCAATAACAATAATGGATATTTAGTTGTTAAAACAACCAAATCATCTTACCTGAATCGGTCTGTGGATCTAGCTTATCAAACGTTTTGTTCAGCTTGTCCAGACGATCCTGTACCGACCCGGCCCGCCGGGCCAGCGACGTCGCCTCGTGCAGGAGATCGCCAAAGATGTCCTCGGCGTGCTTGCCCAAGTTGCCCAACTGCCGAATGATGCTGGCCAGGGTGTAGTTGGTGACGCACTCAAGCTCGTTCTTGACGTCCTTTCCGATGTCGACCTGACTGACGAGTACGGGTTCGACCTCGCGCTTGATGAGCGGCATGGCGGCTTAGTGGTATACCGTGGTTTTCTGAAAGGTCAACAATGTCAGTGATGTTTGACCATTTCAATTCCAATTTCAATTAAGTTTTAACTTCAAATTTCAATTTTAATGTAAAAAGTATTATTGACCATAAAAAGAAGCAAATTTATTTTGTTAACATGCCAGGATACTTGAGGATCAATGTAAAACATTACCAGGACGAATAGCCTGGCCAACTATATCCAGGACAACTACCGTCCCCCCCCCCCCCCGCCCCGCCCATTACAATATACACTGGATCCTCTTAAAATTAGGCAATCCCTCTATTAAGGAAAGGAACTATACGGGTAATTGAGTTAGGGTTTTCAGGGGTTATTGAGCTATGGTTTTTTTTACAGTGTATAGTGGTGCTCTGGGGTATTTGAATATTTTTCCGATCAGATTGAATTGAACAACAAGTCATTTATAATAAACATGCTTGCCCACGTAAATTTGTAAATAGAATTCCAGTATAACCCACGCACTACTAGCTTGCAGGCAGGGCCATCAAGGGTGCAAATATCTGCAAAAGCATGGAGGCTCATCATCATTTATAAAGGTCAAATTTCATAGTTAATGAACAAAATGAATGCATTTGTTATTGAGGCACGGGGTTGAATGTGATGTTAGTGTTATAACCATTCTATTATTACTAACCGTGTAAGTTGATAAGAATTAAATTGTGCTACAATGCCATAAACATAAACACCAAACACAACCAGATTTTATTCAATAAATAATAACAAATTCCTAATATCAAGTCCTAATATCAATTCCTAATATATATTCTATTAACCATGTAAGTTGATGAAAATTTATTCGTGTTACAATGCCATGAACATAACCACCAAACACAACCAGCTTTTTATTAAATAAATAGAAACAATTCCTAATCTAAGGGAAAGACATCTTCATTACATATCCGCTGTCAACTGTTATTATAAACCGAACTGCATGGATCTTGCCAAGCTATACGGGATAGGGAAGTACAGTTCCCGGGGCGGATCTATGATAATTTGACTGGGGGCGGGGACAGAAAATATAATTGCGTTTTAACCTCTTCTTTTCTATCTCTTCTTCTTCTTCTTCTTCTTCTTCTTCTTCTTTTTCTTCTTCTTCTTCTCCTTCTTCTTCTTCTTCGTCTTCTTCTTCTTCTTTCTCCTCTTCTTCTCCTTCTTCTACTTCCTCTTCTTCTCCTTTTCGTGTTGTTTATGTTATATCAAAGAACTTATTCAATTATTGACAAATTGGGGTTGGGTAATAAGTAGTTCCCAATGCAGGCTTGCAGGCACTATCTATGATATGGACCCCCCTCCCCCCCCCCCCCCCCGATACCACGATCCAATGCTGCTAGCTATCAACAGTCAAACGACGTACACATCGTGATACATTATGACTTATGCTGTAGCAATTGGTATAGATTTTATATTAGCCTCTATTATCTTTGTAACCATATTACATATTGCACTCTGCTTATATTGAATATTATGTATGAAATTCAAATGAAGATTTTATAAGCTAAAGGCCCACACATTTGTGGCTATATATGAACATAATAATGGCATACGTACTTGAATAGTTCGACGGTCTTATGTTGATGAAGACAAGTAGTAGTAATCCATATAACCTGGTAAATATAATCCTGTGCCTTTACACTGGCAATGGATCAAAGATAGTCCACAAACACTGGAACAACTCCCCTGACAGGATCAGCTGTAGATATACCATGAACTGTTCATACAGCCAGACAAGTACATGCAGGATCGGTTTGTATTTATACTGAACTATTACTTCCTACTTTGGGAGAGAGAGAGAGAGAGAGAGAGAGAGAGAGAGAGAGAGAGAGAGAGAAGAGAGGGAGTGGAAGGTTATCTATAGAATCATGAGGATAGGCATTCCATTTATTTATGGCTGCTCTCCAAAGCATGACAATAACAGTGAGGCCCTGCGCCTTTTGTCCATTGTACGGTTCATGATATTTTTATGCGCTGAAGTTTCCAATTATCACGATTCTCTCAAGTTTGCTCTGTGTGTAGCTTCTCGTATTAGATAATTAGGCTGTTCATCAATTATCCCACAGCAGATAACGCATAGGCAGGGTAGGGCTTTGGATGTGTGCCCTCCCACCCCCCCCCCCCCTCCCCATCAGAGAAAAGGAGGGGGAGATAATCTATAGAATCGTGAGGATAAGCCGGGGATAAGCTTCCCATTTATTTATGGCTGCTCTCCAAAGCATAACAATAACAGTGAGGGCTCCCGCGCCTCTTGTCCATTAATTTATTGTGCGGTTCATGATTTTTTTTTTTGTTGCTCTGATTTTCCCCATTTATATCACAATTCTCTAAAGTTAGCTCTGTGTGTGTAGCTTCTCGTATCGGCTGTTCATCAGGCAGGGATGGGGCTTTGGGTGGTTCATCAGGAAGGGGTGGGTGGGTGTACACGTGCCCCCCAGCCCATCATCAAATGGAGTGGTCAAGAGAGAGAGAGGGGGGAGAGAGAGAGAGAGGGGGGAGAGAGAGAGAGAGAGAGAGAGAGAGAGAGAGAGAGAGAGAGAGAGAGAGAGAGAAGCAGTGGGAAGGGAGAGGGCATGAGTTAAGCAAAATCACCTTCCTATGTCCTCCTCGTATATGAAGGTAATTTTAATTCGCATTTTTATCGAACTGGTCCTAGCCATTATGTCCATGACGGTTGAACCTCCCCATGCATGGTTCCAGTGCCACACCCTCCCCGATGGTTGAACCACACACGCCAATACATACAGCATGCATCATTAAAGACCTAGTATCTAATGGTTTTACAGTATTTTTATGATGAAAATTCTTTCCTTTCTTTCTGTCTTTCTTTCGCTCCCTTTCACATTTTAAGTCTACACAATGTCTTTTCTACTTTGTTCATTCCTATTTGTTTCTGAAACGTTATTTCTTACAGATAGTTAGTACGCACAATCACACTATTCCTAATTCGATCAGTTACCATTGCTTCATAGTTACTTTCATCTTTCCCATCATCCCCCCCCCCCCCCCGTATTTATCAACTTACTCATTAGCTTGCTGAAGGAAACTATATGACCTTTGATCACTATTTCAGTCAGTGTGGTTGATTTTTGTTGGTTATGAAATCACCATTACTTCCTGTTTCATGTCATATCAGACGCCATACATATCCTCATTTTCTCCCGGCCGCTCCCTATATGTTGCGGATCCAGGGGGATAAGGTATCTGCCCCGTGTTCACCCCCGAACAAATAACCAGCGTGTCATGCTTATAAAACTCCAACTTTATTTGCTGCCCGTTAATAAGATAAATGAGACAGCCTTTATAATGAATTATATGCCCCCCTCTTTACTGATCAATTTAGACCTTCGAAACTACAGGTATAACTATGTTAGCATGAAATGCCAATTATATTGTGTTTGGACTTTGATATCGTGTACACAAAGAGCCTATAATGGTCTCATTTACAATAATCTTTGTAGATGGGGTTGGAAAATACAGTTGTGGAATCGGTTTCTGACTGGGCAAGAAGGTCGTATGCCATTGCGGTAATATGTGGCGGATCCAGGATTCTGTAAAAGTGGGAGAGGATTCTGAAAAGAAAATGTTTTGACAAGGGGGGCACTTTGACACGATTAGGGGCACATTTTGAGTGATGACACAAATTTTGCCGGGAAACCGCCTACTGATTGATATATATGTTAAATTATCATATATATCCGGCCTGGATAGATATCGCGTAGTCCCACATCTTTCTGTGTACAGTGCTTGTAACTTTACCAACACTGGGCCAATTTTTAAAATAATTTTGATGATTCCAGAACCTTGGCAGTACACACCAATACTTATATGCTAGATGATTGATTCCACCTTTCTTTCACAATGCAATCGCATGATCAGAACTGGTCTTTACCTTTAAGGTATGCCACATTGGGAATTAAAGGGGCATAGATAGGTTTGGCCACCCCCCCCCCCCCCCCCCCCTGGATCCACCACTGGTGCTTGGCACCTGGCCAGGATACTACCCAGAAAGAAAGGGAACCCTGCGGACAGCAATTTAATCCAATGACCAGGATAATAATAATTACAATGTTATACAAAATTACATATTATAATTGTGGACTTGGCCTTCAAGAACAGATGCCATTGGTCTAGTCTAGCAGTGCAGACACTGTAACGCACAAAGACTGTGCCTGCGAATTAGTTGCATCCCACTTAATTTATGTAGCTTGACTTTTCATTGGAAGAAATGAATGCGTACTCATGACAATCAGACGTCTATCTGATTTAATTATAAATACATTCTATATGGTACATATATTTCACAAAAGCTACAAACCAAGTGGTTACAACCACTACACAATGTACAATACATAATTTACTAACTACCTCAACAAAATTAGGCATGCAAGTATTTACCATTCCCCTCCCTCCCTTTAACGTAATTTTCAAATGTCCAAAAAATTCAGTACATATCATTTATCTATAGTAATGTTTTCCAATGTTTAAAGTAGATGCAAACACTGTACATATCGCATGTGGATACTGGGTAATCCTGTATCTATTGTATATCCAATTGTAAACTCTCTTTCCAAACAAGATCTGACAGCTTAATTTCCATGTCATGGGCTTTCAGTCAGATAATTCTAATTAATTATAATTATTTGACCAGAGTTGAACAAAATACTAAACGAAGCTTACAAATACGAGTCAAATAACTGTGAATTATCGACCTCATCATTTTCAGGGTTCGTTGGTTTCTCTTCAAAGGGCACGTTCAGATATGACGAGGCAAAAGTGTGGCGTTAACATTTTTTTTGTTGATGTGAAGTGTAATAAGCCTCACATTTCTGTATCTTGTAATGCTGAGCTCAGTGAATATGCACAGACCTATGTTGCATGCAGTTGCCATTCATTTACATGTAAAAAAGCTGCAGCGGTTTGCCACGTAATATCTTAATAAGCCTAAAGGCAACCTAAACATACTTGTACATTCTTTTGTAATTCATCTAAAACCACTGTCACATTGCTAATTGCAAGCAAGAACTCTTAACATTTTCTAAATGAGATAATGCAAACAAATTAAAGTACTGTGTACTAGCACATTACAGTTCGACAGATTATCTCATCAAAGTATAATCTACAAACATCAAGTATTACAAATGCCTGCATTGTTTAGTGTGAATTATCTTCTTCTTCTTCATGACGACCATTATTTATTGTAGGTTCTTTGTTACGAACACCATTATTTGTTCCATCTTAAAATTGGTGGTTGATTAAACTCTTGCAGTTTGTATTTGCGAATGAACCAGTATGCATATTCCCAAAGAAATATACAACTTTATAATTGATGTAAACAATAATGTTGAAATCTACCATACTACCATGATGGCCTAACCCTTCTACATGATAATTGACGGAAAATACTACTGTATATACTTTTACATTACGTATTTACAAACATGTCATATAAATAAGGGATGAAACTAGCCTGACAAAACTTAATACATTGGGGCTATCTGGCTTGGTGGGAGGTTAAAGAGTACATCTTGTGATCTACATGTATAAACTATTTATTGATTTTTTGGGGGTGTTTTTTTTGTTGGGGGGGGGGGGGACTGATGAGTAATCCCCCTCCCCCCCCCCCCCCCCCCCCCCCCCCCCCCCCCTCTGAAAAGATAATTACACATTATGAATGAAATTGTTTTTGTGTATTATGTTTCAAGTATTTGTAAACACAAGTTAGTGGGGAATGACGAATAGACCCCCCCCCCCCCCCCTCCCCCATAACAGATGATTATGCAAGTTTCTGCCACTGAATAATATGATTTGTGTGTACTACGCTTCACTTTCTGTGCTTCCCTGGGAGTCTTCTAATATTGGTACAATGAGATTGTCCTTCGGCATCAGGTTGTATTTCGTCACAAACGTTGTGAATCGTCGGCATAGAAATGTCTCATTCTAAGAGTAAAGAAAGAAATAAGCATATGCATTAAAAGTTATAAGGATCATTTGATACATCCTTATGCCCTAGCTTCAAAACATAAGGCTAATATAGTGATTAATGTGGTCTACAGTAAGTCAACACATAATACATTTACAGATCAAATAAAGCATGTAATTTTAAGAGAAAACTACACATCATAAACTCAGAAATATGATGTTTACCTACATGTCACAACATGTCTGACTAAATCAACATGACATGTATCTCAGCATAACAGTGACAGGGGATCAATACAGTTTATTGAATTACAATGGTGTTAAAATCCCTAAGATCAAGATATAAAAGTGTACCTTGAGATGGGAGGCCATCCCATATACTGTCATATCATTCTTTTAATTGATGATGGTTGACGATGATGATGGTGGCAGTAGTTGTGGTGATGATGGTGATAATGATGGTGATGAAAATGATGATGATAGTAATGATGATGATGAAGGTGATAATAATGATGAAGTTGTTGATTACATTATGATTAGCAATGACAGTGATATATGATAAGATAGCTGAGGATGATGATGATTTCAAGCAACTGACCAGTTTTTCAAAAATCAAATGGAATTGGTGTTAATCCACAACAACAAATGTCTACTGACAGACAGTACTCTTAACATACCTCATAGTCATCAAACAATGTGCGATGGTGGAAGTAGGCATGTGAGAATATCCTATAGATACGACGGCATACAGAACCCAGCTTGGCTACAGACGACTCCTTAATGCTCACGCTAAAATTAAATAATCAAAGGTCAAACATCTTATAAAAATAATTATTGTTAAATTAATTAAAAATCTTCCTTTTATTCTAATACTGAAAGAAATTGGTGAAGAATGCTTCTCATATCTAATGCTGATGCAATATATTCATAAGACCTGCCCACATTTCAGAATTTTGAATGATTTCTTCATAATTTTGACATGATCATAAAATCAGCTGAATCGTTTATTTATTATTATTATTACACTTTTTAATTATTGCATGAACTTTATCAATTAATTTGTATGCAAATATAAAAAAGGGGTGAAATCATTTCTTCTTTCAAAGAATTATTCATACTATGGCTCTGAATATCAATGATAACATCATAATTGAGTAGTCAGTTGAACAATACAGGTCCATAAGATTGTGATCCCCCACATGATCTTAGTTCCCATTACATTTTCTAAACGTTAAAGGTAATACAAAGTTTTAGGAAAATTTGAAAAATGGGTGGATCGTGAATCTTTACAATTTTGATATATTTGGATGCCCCTGTGGATGTATTATAAGCACTAAAATAATTAGCCCCTAAAACACTTCTGTTTTCAAGAAAAATTGAATATCAAAATTTACAGGTGCTCCCGGTAAATTATGATAAATTTCAAATAGCGCCTATAGCCGTATAATATTAGCTGCGACCATGAAAATCTCAGAATATGTAGTTGGGACATATAATTTCCAAATGGGAATAGCTAATCGGTCGATTTTAGTCAAGAAACATTGTTTCATAGCTAAATTAATATCTTGACCGTGAGAGGGAGCTATACAACATAAAGAGTTTATTATTTATGATTTCATAACTTTAGACTCAATTTCAACCGCGACAACGATCAATGTATATTGTAGGAACGCATACGCTTCAAATATGTTAATTTGAACCAAATTCATGACCCCATACCAAAACTTTGTAATACCTTTAAGTAGTAACTTTGAGAAAGAATTCATGGCACCAACACCCTTGTTTTGGTCCTCATCTCAAACCTACAAGTACCATAGGATTAAAAAAAACACTAATTGCTGTTTGCTTACCGGCTCGGGAAGTACTTGTTGCTATTGAGGAGACATGCAGCGCCATCTAGGGTGTGTCTTGTGTAGTCTATTGCTGGACACTGAGAACAAATAACACAATTGCTCACTTTAAATACATTTTTGGCAAGTGGACCCCTCAAATTTTACTTCAGATCCCAAGATTTTCTTAATATTCCAAGGTGTCCATCGAACATGGATTCCCAAAATATTGCTCAAGACCCCCAATACTTGACATGTTAACAGGGGTCTATTTGACTTGAGACCTACATGTATATATTGTCACTCTGGATTCTCAGAAAATAGTTTTAGTGGAGCCTGGGTATAGAGGCATTATATTCTGATGTGCACTATATACACAGGAAATACAAGCAATACATTAAATATTTGCATCTAATGCCCAACTATGGGCTCTAAACTCGGTGGTGGAGCAGTGGTCTCACAAGCAGAAGATCCTAAGTGAAAGAACCAAAACCCAAACAGGTCAATATACTAGTGTCCTTTGGTAATGTATTAACCCTCTTTACCTTGTCTCTCAGATAGGAATTCCAACTGATGTTCCATAAGATTGTTTGTTGTCTACATGTACACTTACTTCTTTACATATACGTGTAGCAGACGCAACATGAAACTTTTGAAATTTGTCTGTTGTGTTTCAATTATTTTGCAGCGTGAAATTTTCAGGAATCTACACCACTCACAAATTTTGTGAACATTTCAGGTGAGTGAAAGGTTTTGGTTTTACAGTACATTGAAATCATTGATCTATCAGTCAATTTACCTCTTTGGGTGTCTTGTGAGCAGCACATAGGAAGATCCACTGCTCTGTAGCAGTCATCTGTGAACAGGTATCAGGGTTACATTCATGCTGTTATGAAAAGAAATGACAGGATGATTATTGTTATTTATACTCTGTCCTAGAACCGAATGAAACGATTGGTCTTTTGCATTCATGTGAGAAACATTTATCACTTGTATAGATTCAGTGTGCATTCTTTCTTTGTCGGCTAAACTCTACACACGCATGTCTGTAGATTCAAACAGAAGAGTCACATGTACCAGTAACTTGACAGCTAAACCATTGTCTCAGATGTACATACTTCCAAACACCCTTTTCTTGGCAATCTCAAGGATACAATCAATGTTTCCTACATGTAGCATTCCACTAAATCAGGAACCACCTGTAACTTGACAGCTACATGTAAACCATTGTCTCAGATGTTCAAACTTCCAAACACCCATTTCTTGACAATCTCAAGGATACAATCAATGTTCCCTACATGTAGTATTCCACTAAATCAGGAACCACCTGTAACTTGACATCTACATGTAAACCATTGTCTCAGATGTTCATACTTCCAAACACCCATTTCTTGACAATCTCAAGGATACAATCAATGTTCCCTACATGTAGCATTCCACTAAATCAGGAACCAACTGTAACTTGACAGCTACATGTAAACCATTGTCTCAGATGTTCATACTTCCAAACACTCATTTCTTGGCAATCTCAAGGATACAATCAATGTTCCCTACATGTAGCATTCCACTAAATCAGGAACCACCTGTAACTTGGGCCATTCAGTTCCAGACAGAACTGTGTCAGATGTTCAAACAACATCATCTTGGAGATCTAGAGGATACTATCATTGTTCCAGGAAACCTGCATGTTCCATCATGTACATGTAGCATTCCACTATTAAATTTAAAAAAAATCAAGAATTACCTGTAACTTGACAGCTAGGCCATTAAGCTCCAGACAGAATTGTCTGAGATGTTCATACTTCCATACGCCTTCGTCTTGGCCCTCTGGAGGGTGGAGGATGCCATCGATGTTACTGATATCCTTCCTGATGGTCTGCTGAATGAACTGTCAACAGAAGATGATGAAAAAAACAAGAAGACACAGATATGTGAACTCACGCTTTAACTTGACATTCAAAGTAAAATTGCAGTGATATGAGCAAAAGCTATCAGAATTTGTCTCTTTCTTTTTAGCAGATGTTTCTGAATTTTTCGAATAATCAAATACAAAATATTCAAATAACAATAAATGTACATAGAAAACTTGACAGTATGGAGGTAAATCAAAGAATCCAGATAAATGCAGAGGCCATTTATCATAGCAAGAATGCTCGAGTCGATAGTTAATAGATAGTTATTCCCAATGGTCCATCTTATACAAATTCAGTTAAACCAGACCCTGGGTCAAAGATCAGTTTAACAAAGGAAAACTTAAACATCTCAAACTAACTTCATTTGGACAAAAGCCTAAACTCAGCGTTAGGTTTTACTTTCAGTAGAACATGGTCCAATAAACATGTATAGTATCTGGTACCTTTATAATTTTTTTTTACACAGAATGAGTGATTAAAATGAAACTTCCACTATATTGGTTTATAGGACCTCCCCCCCCCCCCCCCCCAAAAAAAAAAAAAAAAAACGAAAGACAGATTAGAGTTGAAATTACAACAGACCTAGCCTAAACATAACAACAAGTGTTACCAGAATACATAAAAATGTAGGAAAATAAAATATGACTGCATGACTTTCTGTGACCATCAATAATGGATTTCCATTCAATGTAGTAAATGCATGACATATATGAAAGAAAGCCAAAACATGATCACTTTCATTTTGTATATCTAGGGTGCTATTACCCCCAAATCGCTATTATTATCAGTTTTATAGGATAAGGACAGATCTACAATAAATCACAAAAAATAACATTTTCATTTATTTATGATGAAAGCAAGTGGGAATGGAAAACAATCACTTTGAACAGGTGAAGAAAAATGGTGTTGTACACAGGGGAAAACATGTAAGAGTGCAAGGTCACTGACATACTAACCTGCATTCTGATTAAACTGAAAAATAAAATAAACTTAAAGATAACATCTACATGTACTTCTATGCTAGTAGCAAATAGGATATCAGAAAGGAATTTAGCCTGTGTCTCTATATTGCACTCTTGTATCAAAATATATTAGCATGTGTCGTGTACATGTACGCTTGTGCCAGATAAGTTGATGTTCTGTCCATGATTTTGTATTTGAAAGGAACATCAAAGTAGGGCTACTGAACAAGGGCGGTCGGCCTTCAACATTCCGCAAAGCAAACTCACATAGATACATACATACCAATGACATTCACATGAAGGAATGATTGTTTGCCACTAATGACTTATATGATCCCCCAAAAAGGGGATAAAAAAAAACTCGCAGGAGCTTAAAGGAATTGTGAGTATCTTAGTATTCAATATTTTAAAATTAAAATTAAAATCAAAAGCTGATCTGAGAGTCAAGCAAATGTTTTCTTTAGGAGAACGTGGTTCACTGACTCTGTCATCAGTGCATTGTTCTTAATGTTCACTAAGGTAGTCAACACCAGGCTTGTTATGTCTCTGCTTTTATTGCGACTGTCAGATGAAACTGTTTGTATCATGATGCATTAGAGTTAATTCTGAGTTCACGTACATGCGAACATTGCCCCTACACTTTGCAACCTGAGCACACGTGTACTGGGAATATTGCCCCTACCCTAAGACCCAATGTTCTACATATCACATCATAATGTAAACAGATAAAGGACATAAGCAGGGAAGTTTGATGATGATGATAATGATGATGATGCAAATAATAATAATAATGATGATAATAATAATGATAACTTTAACAATAACCACAAGTATAATAATACTAATACTAATACCAATAAAACTAATATTAATTATAATACAAATAATAATACCAATAAGAAGAGGATGAAGAAAAAGAACTAAAACTAGAAAAACAAGAACAAAAATATATGTAACAACTAAAATGTATGGTTTTTGTGTTTTCTGTATGTACTGTAAATGTCCAAATATGCTTCCAAATAGTTCTAAAATCAGTACCCAAGATTTTGATCTTAGAAGGACTGTTGACAGTGCACAGTGCGTTTCAAAGAATAAGTCATGCCAGTAACCGATCTAACCCCTGGGTTGAGAGAGACAACTGTAGATAAAATGCCTTTTCTATGGACATACATGTACTATGCACCAGGCAGAGATTTGAACCCAGGACCTTTTGACAGAGTATCAAAAGAATGCGACACCAAGATCACAAATCGGCCTACTGGTATACATTTTTTTTAAGAAGTTACCTGCCAATGCCAATGCTGATTATCAATGAATAAAATGAAATGCAATGATAAACGAAAATGTGTCCCATTCTCCAAACTCTCTTCTGCCATTTACAAAATGACATCATTAATAACCAGGTGAGGTAGGAGAGGGAAGCTGGAAGAGTGTAAGTTACAGACTCATTTTTCATACTGACTGTGCAGCAGTTGGTCCAAACTGCCCCCTGAAGGAGGTAGTTGCTAATTTGAAATGGAAACAGTAAACAACATGATGAAGAGCTTGTCATGTCTGGACCTTTGGGGTGATCCATCAGGTTCAAATGTCTCCATTGAGAACATTCCCCCAAAATATGGAAACCTTATCTTAAAAGAAATATTAATTTTGCTGTCAAACTGGAAGCAAACGCTAAAAAGTTGAGACAATAGCAAACCTATTCAGAGATCACATACCGTAATAACTCTTGTTTCTTGAGAAAGTTAATGAACCTTGACCTACTATAGGAGTTAGGAAAACCTGACATAAATATTCCATACTGAGTTCAGAGCCACAAGGGCATTATTTCAACTCCCAGATAATCAGAAAAAATGGGATTGTGTGATACAGAAAATCCCTAGGAATAAATAAAGAGAGCACCATGATTGAGACCAACAAAAAAATCTAACAAATTTTTATAATTCTACACTACATGTGTAATAATATTCCTTTCTTGTACAGTGTATAGCGCATATACATTATAACGTCCCTATGGGCTTACAAAGAGCTTTGAAAATGATTACTCAGGCTTTAGCTCTGGCAGTCGTTATTATAATATTAGTGCACAGTGTATTTCCAAGGAATCGTCTTACCAGGAATCCATTTACCTCACATGGGTTGAGTGTGCCAAATGTAGATTAATGTCTTGCCAAAGGACTTTGTGCTCCACAGTCCGCCGACATATCCACTAGACCACAACACCACTATGCTCAACATTTATGTTTATTTATTTCATACTACTATTATAACTTTGTAATAATTAGGGTTTGACAAAATAAAAGTTCTTAAAGAGGTTAACCTTACATGTATATCATGTTACTCTTTAATTATTTTTTTCAATTCTGTTTCATACTTCTCTAGAATGGCTAGACTTACATGTACGATCATCGTTAAAAAAAATAGTGATTTGTCATGTAAATCAACTCATCTCCGTTAATCGGAGGAAATGTCTGAAAAAGACATGAAATATATTGACATCTTGCCATCTAATTAGGGAACAAAATAAGTATCAGAAGAAAAAAAAGAGCTAAGTTTACCGCTAATCACATGATTTTTAAGTTTTAACATAATTTTCCTGCTTTTTTTTTTGGGGGGGGGGGGGAAGTTTTCACAAATTTAATTCCGACCAGAATTGGCCCAAAAGCCCCATTAAAAATTCAAAGTTGAACTAACCAAGAATAAGTGTAGGTATTCTGAAAAACGAGTTGAATTCCTGCCTTTTGATGTACAATAAGTCTTACGAATGTGTATATGAGATATGAAGATTTCTTGGCATGATGTAATGCCTTTTAGCATGAAATCGGCGCAGCCATGTTCTTGAAAATGAGGGAAAACCATAGCCGAGAAGATAATATAAATATGTCAAGTCTGTGAGAAAAGGCGTTTATTTCTGCAGCGCCATCTCTTTGGAATGCTCATCCACTGAGGATCCGATCACTAGAATCCCTAGAAACATTTAAAGGAATCTAAAGTCATATATGTTCGCATGTTATTTTAGTTAATTATATGTTGAATGTACATCTATGCATTTTTTTTCTTCTTCCTCCTTCTCATTTCCTATATATCTCATTCTAATTCTATCCCTCTGCGCCTCAGAATAGTTTAATAGATTGATGGTGCATAATAAATGCTGTATTATTATTATTATTATTATTTGGTGAAAAATATATAATTGGGTAACAACTACCGGTAACAATTGTAACTCATTTATTTAAAAGTACTAAAATAAAGCGGTTGAAAATCTATTTCATGTAGGCGAAACCTTCACCCCAGAACAGCACCAACTGATTTTTATGCAATTTGCATTCTGGCAATTGGAGTACAAAGGATAACAGCAGGTAATTGAAATGCTTCAACACCAGAAACACCTGGGAACGAAGCATCCATAAATTTGCCCATTAGTCAGGTGGCTTAGCGTCAAATTTATTGATTATCGTTACTTGCCGGATAAAAGCACCATTTTTGCTACAGGGCTTCCTTAGGACTTACTTAACAATATTAGGCTAGGAGCCCCCGGCAAAAAAATTAATTTAAGGGTGTGGGGGCGGGGGCATCTTTTTGGAGCCCCAAATAATTTTATAACATTGATTTGTTGTTGTACAAATGCCATTTTTGGTACAGGGCTTCTTTAGGACCTACTGAACAAATAAGGGTAGGGGCCCCCGGCAAAAATATCTTATAAGGGTGAGGGGTGGGGGCGTCGCTCGTAGCCCCCAAATAATTTAGAAGGTAATATAACATTTTGTTGTTGTTGTACAATTGCCACTTTTGGTACAGGGCTTCCTTAGGACCTACTGAACGATATTAGGGTAGGAGCCCCCCGGCCCCCCCACTCAGTGTTATTTAGGGTACGCTTATGCGTGTTCCCTCCTTTTGAAAACACCGGAGTGTAAAGTCAATTTTGTGTATGTATGAGCCGGACTTTGGTGCGTGAAAAGTACCCATTTAGCGGACATTTTGGTAACACGCATGCGGTCATTCCAACCCCGGAGTGGGAGGGCCGTGAGGAGCCCCCGGCAAGGATATCATAGGGTGCTGGACAGGGGCGTCGCCTCGTAGTCCCCAAATAATTTGTAAGTTAATATAACATTGATTTGTTGTTGTACAAACGTCATGGGCCCCCAATCACCCATATATGACTATGTATGCCGGGGGCTCCTACATGTACCCTACCATCTTCAGCAGGTCCTAATGCCCAAGAATGCAAAAAATCTCTTAGAACAACTCAAGTTATTTGGGGTTAGTTTTCCTTTAAGTACAATGTATGTACATGTACAGTTGTAGATGATGCTTTTTGAACACTTACAGTAACAGTTAATGCTAAACACTTGCGTTGGCCTATTGCCCATTTGAATGTGTTTTCTTCTTCTTTATCTTACCTGCTGGAAGGCTAAAGTAGCATTGGCAATTTTGTGCTGAAATATCTTTAATGCAATGTATAAGTACATGATTCTTTGTGAAGACTTCACTACAACAACAAATGTATCGACCTGAAGCTTCGGCGTCAAGTCAACGTTGATATTTGGGGACCTCTGAGGAGGGTAGGTTAAAAGTGAACACAAAACACTGGTGTTGGTGGGTGTGTTGCCAATTTGAAAGCATTTTTTCTTGATCTTACCTGTTGGACAGCTAAAGTACTGTCCATCTCATCGAACGCTTGTTCTTCCCATGAGAAAAAGTCCTGTAAGGAAAAGAAATGTACAATGATGTCAATATGAGTCCTGCAAGGAAAAGAAATGCACAATGATGTCAATATGAGTCCTGTAAGGAAAAGAAATGCACAATGATGTCAATATGAGTCCTGTAAGGAAAAGAAATGCACAATGATGTCAATATGAGTCCTGCAAGGAAAAGAAATGCACAATGATGTCAATATGAGTCCTGTAAGGAAAAGAAATGCACAATGATGTCAATATGAGTCCTGCAAGGAAAAGAAATGCACAATGATGTCAATATGATTCCTGTAAGGAAAAGAAATGCACAATGATGTCAATATGAGTCCTGTAAGGAAAAGAAATGCACAATGATGTCAATATGAGTCCTGTAAGGAAAAGAAATGCACAATGATGTCAATATGAGTCCTGTAAGGAAAAGAAATGCACAATGATGTCAATATGTTGGTGCACAATGCATGCACAGATCTGACATTTGAAATACAAAACATGTTAATTGACCAGTTCATAGATCTAAAATTGTTCGCAAATCTTTAAATCATAGAGAAGTCCCACTTTATGCAATCTAGAATAATCACTGCCAAACTGATGGAGGAGCTTCATGTATTCTAAAAGAAAGCAGATTCGTGAAAGTTTAAACAAAATCGGGCAAAAAGAGAACAAGTTATTAATTTTTAAAAAGTTGTAATCACTGTGCATATGGGCATTTCAAATGGCTGAATCAGCAGTGTCACTGTGAAGTGCCAGACAACTTTCCCATTGGTTCCAAGTTCCAACACACAAAATGACTAAAATTACATTGTTTAAAAATATACGACTCAGAGGGTCTTTTCTTTTAAGAGAACCTTTAAAGGACAAGTCCACTCCACAAAATAACTTACCGTACTTTACATAGAAGCAGATAAATCAGACAAACCAATCAGAAAAAGTTTGAGCAAAATCGGGTAACTAATAAAAAAGTTATGAATTTTGGGTAAAGTATACATGTAAAACTATAGAAAAATGGAAATCACTACACAACTTAGTTATCAGTTTGTGATGTCATGTCCTCACTATTTATCAATTGCTTTATATAGTTTAATCCCACTAATTTGATTTCCCCATGCCTTTGCCCAGGTTTCATATTGCGAACTTTATGAACTTTGAAGAACTGATACTATTTTCTGAATATTGTATATTCATAATTATTGATTTTTATCTAAATAGTTTATAAAAATTCACATTTTTCATGATTTAACTGAAAAAAATTACTCTTTATTAGTGCATCCACACAAAAACATATTACTATCAATCCAACTTGGATGCTGGTGTGAAGAAATAAGATTCTTAGGAAAATTATATTATCAATATAAAGAAAACAATTAGTGGATAGTGAGGACTCATGAATGAGTTTCCAATTTGTCTTGTGATTTTCATTGTTACATAGTTTTCCATACTTTTTCAAAAATTCATAACTTTCTTATTAGTTATCCGATTTTGCTCAAACATTTTTGATTGGTTTGTCTGATTTTTCTGGTTCTATTGAAAGTAAGTTAGTTTTGGAGTGGACTTGGCCTTTAATAATAAATGCTAGCATAAGTTTTGGCGGCCCAAAATCTGTGCGCTGGGCCCATAATATGAATTACTGTATTTTCCAGCGTTATGGCCGCAGTATTTTCGGAAGAGAAAATATCAAAAAGTTTGGGTGCAGCACTGCAGCCTATGCACAACAACAGTCAAATTCGGGTCACCTCGGGTCAGCACGTATGCGTACATATGGGACTACAATGACTATACCAGTAATGTACAATGGTACAGGACATTTGTAGAATAACTCAACACATCTTGCCAACAATTGACAATTTTGTGTTGCATTTTGTGAATCTCCTGAATAAGCATCATAACTTATTTTTCACAAAAAAAACTACTGGTAAAACTATATTACAGTTCGTGACATCGCAACGGAACTACTGCGCAACGCAACTGCGCATCCGCTTTTCTTAAAATCCATTTCAGGCAATTTTGCATTGCATTGTGCTAGGTAGGGGTTTATCGGATACAAAACTGCCTGCGATACAGTACAAGCTTCAAAATCAACAAAGATTTGCTACATTGCAATCATTTTTTAGATAAACACAATTTTAAACTTGGATTTTCCTTTAAATTTTTATAAGAATATTGATGAATTTAGTATCAGTTTGTAGGAAAAATAGTTTTCTACCAGAAAATAGCGATGATTTTATTTGGTCTTGTAGCATTGCACCTTTCCCGTTTTTTTTTCCTTCAGTTTTTTTTCTTCAAAATCGGGGGTGCGGCCTAAAGCGTGTGAGTCAAAAAAAGTTTACATCTAGAAAATTGATAATTCTTTTAAAAAGCATCTATGAGCAGTAAATTAATACACATCTTATGAAAGAGTGTTTTATCCCAAATCTTTTGGTATCATTTTTGTGTGGTAGGTGTTCACACTTGGAGTGCAAATATCGACTTGCGCCAAAGTGATGCCTACAGTATGTATTATGTTGAGATTAGCGGAGTGAAGGAATGAATTGAATGTATCAAATGAAATGCATTACCGGTATAAGCTTTTTGCAGAAGCAAAGTCACACACACATATCCACATGCGCACAAATGTTTGTTGATATTTGATATTCTATATTTTATATGTGTGGCATGATTAATTTTGTTAGGGATGTTATTTTCATCTGCAAAGACCAGATTAATACCAGTACCCAAATCTCAATTGTTTTATTCAAACATCACATACATGTAAGCAACTTTGGGGCAAGTTGATTTTTTGCACTCTCGCAATGCCTCCTATTCATCCCAGCGTGAAGACATACCACACAAAATGATACTAAATGTTTCTGGATAAAACGCTCTTTCATAAGATGTATAATAATTAACTGTTCATAGATGACTTTTAAAATAATAAGAAATTTTCTAGGTGTAAACTTTTTTTTTACTCAACTCCAAAAATAACAAGAAAAATTGACCCGAAACAGGTAATAAACATAGGCCTACTATAACGACTTTTAAGTTAACTCATGATCTTTATTTGGACATGAATATTTACATCATTTTGGGTATGTTTTAGTAAGGTATCTCCACACCGGAGTTACGGGTCAAAGTTTGGATAGGCTTCTGAACAAGTGCCCAAAGTTCTTCGTGCTAGCCGCTAGGCCTAGTAAACCTGGGGCCGTATTCTGAACCCTGTGTTATCTCTAATATTGTTGTATCTTTGGAGATAAGATAAAGTTGGTATTCTGAACACTGTTGTAACTTTTGTTGTATCTTTTCTCTCATCTCTTTGGTCGCGCCTGCGTTCAAACTTTGGTGCGCTTGTAATTGTGCTTATTAGTAATAAAATGGCGCTTAATCCTCATTTGCATATGCGCACGAGAGATAATATGACAAGATAATTGGTATTCTGAAAATTGTTGTATCTTTTATCTTATCTTATCTTGCATGGTATTTACAACAGGTAGGGGGTTGTTGTATCTTTCGTGGTGATATAATGGCAGCAATATTTCTTGCCCAGAACCAACGGCGCTAGCGTAGTTCCGTATCCATTTTTTTAGCAGATTCATAATTCATATCCATTCTTAGCAAAGGAATTTTAGCCCAATTTTTTACTAATATTAATCATAATCATATATTGCATTTTCCACCTGAATTTGGATCACATCCGACATCGGGAAGCCTCTGTTTGGGGCTTCGATGTCGACGTCGTCGCTCAGTATCGTCTCCGCGCTATAGCTTTGCAACTCAAACTGAAGCTTAATTTTAGACTGATAGCTTCAGTTTGAGTTGCAGAGCTATAGCGCGGAGACGGTACTGAGCGACGACGTCGACATCGAAGCCCTACACGGAGGCTTCCCAATGTCGGATGCGATCTAAATTCAGGTGGAAAATGCAATACATGATTATGATTAAAATTGGGCTAAAATTCCTTTGCTAAGAATCGATATTAAACTGCTAAAAAAAAACGGATACGGAACTACACTAGCGCCAAACCAACTTCGTGCCAATAGACGAGTTAGAAGAAGATTGTGTGTTGACCGGAAACATCACAGATGAGAACTTTCTAAGAAATGACATGCTAGGATATGACGATTTTAATGCTCTCATCTTAACCTCTTATCGAGTCACTACACAAGTCCCGTCCAGTGGTCCACAGGCTTTGGCACGGCAATTCACGGCTTCCAGGTCATCTTGGGTGCATGGCTCTGGCAGGATTGGGCAGACTAGCAGGTGTTCCATTGTCTGTTCCTGGCCGCATTCACATGTTGTTTGTTCATCTCCTAGACCCTATCTCTGCATTAGGACTCTTATCTTAACCAATATAGTGAAAGCGTGATTTGTCTTCATGATCCACATGCCACAGCGCATATGATGACGCGCGTAATAAGCGCTCAAATAACTAATTACGCCCAAGATTAGTATGTGCTAGGCGCATCTTCAGATACGGCATAAAGTATTCCTATTGGTTGACCTACTTATCATGCTTATATAAAACAGATTTTGATTGGTAGTGTTCATACAAATGGGCATGTCAACAGTGGTCAAAGAAGATAGAGGCAGTCCTTCAAAAGTTCAATTCAAACACAGGGATAAAATGTCTGATGTTCAGAATACCAACTTACAACAATATTAGGGCTGTTATCTCTGTGAGATACAACAAAAGATAACACAAAACTTACAACAATGTTCAGAATACCACCCCCGACCATGATAAAGGCATAATCCATAGATCTAGGCCATGTACTATGTAGACCTACATACCATTCCAGCAATTCATGACACTCCTTGTAGTCACTTGCCTCACCTACCATCCCAGTATAGCTTCCTGAGTGAGCTGCCAAAGGGATTACCCAACCAAGTACCAAGTATGTAGGCTTTATACATGTAGATCTACGGGGCGCGCGCGGCGGTAGCAATAGCACGAACTTGACAGGGAATTGTTTCCGTGATCATCATAGGTGATTGAATTGAGATGCCGAGTGATCATGGCATACCGGTACATGCATTTTCACTCAAAATGATATAGCCTAGATCTAGGATCAAGAATCAAAATGACATACTGAACTAATATTTTAGGAAAATACTTCAAAATAGATACCTCAGCCCTCGACCCTGCCCGAACTCTTCGCAAAATACCGACTTCACCCTCAGCCATTGTTGTTGTTGTTGTTGTGTTTTGAGTTATTGGCGATTAGTCAGTGATTTGACTATTGTCGCCAAATTACTTTACGGCACGTGTTATATCTCTCAATTTTGGATTTTTTTAAAAATACATTTATTTCGTTTTATATTTATCTATCTTTTAAGATAGTATCGTAAAATAATATCGTAAGCAAAACATTCATGGGCTTTGTTAGTGTTTCTTAACAGTACGTGCAGATTATTTGTTATATCACATACACACCATACATAAATATGTATATAAGATAGCACCTACACAAGCTTCTATATTCAGTAATCTTATCATACCTTTTATCATTGTTGTTACTTTTTCTTATTTTATTTTCTTAATACATTATGTTATTATATTTTTAATGTACTGAGTGTAATTTAACATATTTATAATATCGTATTATGTTTTACTGTTCTTATTTTATTTTCTTATATTATGATTGTTATTATATTTTTAATGTACTGAGTGTAATTTAGCATATTATAATATTGTATAATGTTTTACTATTCTTATTTTATTTTCTTATTACATTATGTTATTATATTTTTAATGTACTGAGTGTAATTTAACATATTTATAATATTGTATTATGTTTTACTGTTCTTATTTTATTTTCTTATTACATTATGTTATTATATTTTTAATGTACTGAGTGTAATTTAGCATATTTATAATATTGTATTATATTTTACTGTTCATCAAGGGAGGTATTACTTCCTGATAGGGAACCGTTTCGTTCTGAGAAAGAACCGTACAATAGCTTTTTGTATACTGGACTCACTCTTTTTTAAGTATTCCATAATTTTTTCAGGTTTTTTCACCTTCAACTCGCTGTGCGTAATTTTAACAACTTATGGTATCGTTGAGATGGCAAATTTGTATATTGATGAAGAAAGAAAAATAAGGCCTATATTCTTGTATCCTATATTTTGTCCACCATAACTGGTGGGGGGGGGGGGGGGTGAATGGATAATTGTGTTCAAATACCAATCGAGTACGTAAAGCAAGTCTAGAAGTCGTTTATTTAATTGTAAGCGAATCAAGCAGCTCGACCTATTTTAAAGGTAATACAAACTTTTGGTATGGGGTCGTGAATTTGGTTCAAATGAACATATTGGAAGCATATGCGATCCTACAATATTCACTGATCGTTGTCGCGGTCGAAATCGACCCTAAAGTTATGAAATTGTAAATAATAAACACTTTATGTTGTATAGCTCCCTCTCAAGGTCAAATATTCATTAAGCTGTAAAACAATGTTTCTTGACTGAAATCGACTGATTAGCTATTCCCGTTCGGAAATTATATACCACAACTACATATTCTGAGATTTTCATGGTCGCAGCTACCATTGTACGGCCGTAGGAGCTATTTGAAATTTTTCAAAATTTACCGGGAGCACCGGTAAATCTTTATATTCAATTTTTCTCGAAAGCAGAAGTGTTTTAGGGGCTAAAATTTCTAGTTCTTTTAATTCATCCCCAGAGGCATCCAAATATATCAAAATTGTAAAGAATCACTATCCACCCATTTTTCAAAATTTCCCAAAACTTTGTAATACCTTTAACAAAATAAATCAGAGAGCAATAACATCAACAATGAACAACAACAACAGCAACTGTGAGTGAGGCCCGTTTCTCGAAACCAACTAGCTTCTTGACTAAATCAACGATAATCTTATATAGCTATATGACCAGGGACTTAGAATCTAGTAACATTATTCAGATGAGAGCTAGAAAGCGGTGCTAAACTTCAATGCTAGATGTACAATTAAAGATTTAGTGAAAACGGACCATTAATTGGGAGAAACTGATCTGATCGATTCCTTAATTCTCCCAACTATATTATTGTAATTTAATTACATTTGAGGTGAATGTAAATCGTCACAAGCCAACTATATTATTGTAATTTAATTACATTTGAGGTGAATGTAAATCGTCACAAGCCAATGAATTGGCTCTACATACCATTCCAGACTTTTAAGTGTTGACAAATTTTCAATAGCCTGTTTTATGTATTTTCTTCATGGAAAAAACGGTTGGGAAAATGTCTGTTAATCACTGCACACTGACGCCTTCAAAGAAAACCATATATATATTTATGGTTTAAGAATTTGTTCAGGATTTTTTGCATGTCAGAGGGTAAGTACAGTAGAAGGAATATAATAATTAACATTTTATACAAAATTAAGCAATTTTTTTCATCAACCTTCAATAATGTTACCGAGTCATTTAGCGTCCCCGTTTTTAAAAATGAATAAAAACACTGCTAAAACGATCTATTTCTGATTTTTTTTTTCAAGAAGAAAGAAAATGCCGGCTTGAAAAACAGCCCGAAGTTGTGAGGGAAAATGTACCGAGCGGCCTTTTTGGAAAACAAAGGGCCTCCTCCCTCCTAATTTTCAAAAAGGCAGGACGCTAAACATGTTTTTTTTTTAATGGTCTTAAAGGTACTACGTCCCATTTGCAGGCCAAAAAAATGAAAAGGTTAAATTCCAACGTCATTTGAAAGACAATACTAATTTAGAACTTCCTACAAAAAGGGGGGGGGGCGGGGGGCTTGAAGTGGAAGTGGGAAAATAACGAGTATTAATTAGTTGTCGAATCGACTTAGGAGCTATAGAACCAGAAAGTAATAGTCTGATATTTCAGACCATTGTACCGAATGGTCGTACGTTTTATGCTGCGCAAAGATTCAATCGGTTTTATTTTGGCCATTACAAGAATGTAGACAAATGCTCATGTACTCTTTACAGCTCATTTTATGTACGTTATTACCAAAGATGAAAAAAGTAAACGGGTTTCCTTGCATAATTCGAATAATAGGACACTGCTAAGGTTTAAATTTCACACATAATTATGACATACATGACATATTCATAATTCATGCAAAGTTCTACATGTTGGCTTGTATCTTTAAGCTCTACTTGTTTGCTACGCGTTTTAGAAAGTGCTCTTCAGGTGCGGATCTTTTTCGCCAAGCGGGGGGGGGGGGGGGGGGGGGGGGGGTTGACCAGTGGCGGATCATGGATTTTCCCAAAAATCGCGCCGTTTTACTGTTTTACTTTTTTCTTCTTCTTTTTGCCCCCTTTTTTCTTCTCCCCCCTTTTTTCACTTGGCAGCCCAATGGGGGGGGGGGGGGGGGGGGGTTAAACCACCGAACCCCCTAGATCCGCCCCTGCTCTTTTCCGAGATACTGAGAGGAGCCTCATCCTGGCCTAGGAGCTAGGACGCCTCCAACTCACAGAATTAATATTGAAAGTGTACGTCCCACGCAGCTCGACTGTCATAACTTTCTTTGTCGATATGTAACGCTATACATTTAATTTATTATTTGGTAGAGTATGACTTTAAAAAAAGGACAAGAAATCCTCTAGTCTTTTTGTGATCTTTCTACACATTGGCACTAAAAAAATAAACATTTTGGAGAATTCATACAAAGGGAAATGGAACATAAAAATCATGATAATAAACACTCAAACAAACCCAAAGACATAAAAGTGGGATATATGGAAGACACTAATATTATAAAATGTGATAGGATCAGAAGACGATAAAGACGGGGGGGGGGGGGGGGTGGGGGTGTTGAGTATCCCCCCCCCCCCCTCCCCACTGAGCTAAATATCGGTCGACGCGATTTTCACATTTCCGACGGGCAACAAAAAATAAAAAATAGTGCTCTCAATACCCCCTATTCCCCCATACTAAGCGAATATCAGTCGGCGCAATTCTCAAATTTCGGGGGGGGGGGGGGGGTGGGGGGCTAAAAAGCATAAAAGACAAAAAAAAATTCTCACTATACCCGAGCTGCCGAAAAGTTATGCGCTAATCTGCAACATTTACTGTTGACCATGATGGTGAGATAAAAGAGCGCATGAAATATCAGGATTTATAATTCCTAAATCAGAAAATGGTATTTCTACAAACGTTCGCTGTCCCTCTTAAATGATTTTCCTTTGCCTTAATGATTTGCCACTTGCCCTCCCAAACAAAAAAGTGGGGGGCAAAACGCATTTTTGCCCCCAAAACGCCCCCCCCCCTCCAAAAAAGAAAGAAAGAAATGCAGTAAAGGAGTAAAGATGGTTTGTATTTTAAACCCCAAAGAACATAACAATAATAAAAACCGGAATTAAATCACATATAAAATTACATTCAAAGAAAAGGAAAGTTAACAGGAATTCAATTTTCTAAACATTCCGCATGCCACCTATATTTATCAATAGAGGTTTTTTATTATAGCGATACGCGCATATCGTGGAAATATGAGAGGATGGGAAAGCGTGTGTGTTTTTTTGTAATAGGGGTGAGAAGACATGAGCCCTGAACACTGGCTTACGATGGGGAGGGGGGGGGGGATGTGGTATTTCTTATTCGATACCACTGATTTACAAATATTGCTGAAATGACATGATTTTCCGGTATTTTTTTTAGTCATATACTTTTTTATGAGTTTGTTGGAAAATTAAAAATTCCCTAATTTACAGTCGGGCGAAAAATATACTTATTTAAAAGCCTTTACGTCAGGGCCTGAAGAAACGGCTGGGTTCGGGGGCTCGAGCCCCCCTCACTTTTTGAAAAAGTATGTTACAGAGAAAAAGAAAGAAAGAGATAGAGAAAAAATTAGAGACCTGCCAATGTCATAAAAGAGGTATCAAAATATGCTCATCTGACCGTAATTAAATGCCTAAAACCCCAGAGCTTACGGGGGCTCCGCCCCCAGACCCCACCAAGAGCCCTAAGACAGTCCCCTGGATGCCCATATGACCGTAATTAAATACCTAAAAAACCCGAGCTTTCGGGCACCCTGCCCCCTGGACCCAACCAAGTGCCCTAAGACGGGCCCTTGGATGCTCATCTGACTGTAATTAAATACCTTAAAAAAAACCTCTGAGTTTCCGGGGGCTCTGCCCCCTGGAACCCCACCAAGGGCCCTAAGGCGGGCCCCTGAATGCTCATCTGACCGTAATTAAATACCTAAAACCCTTAGCTTCCGGACCACATCAATTGCCTTAAATAGTGCCCCTGGATGCTCATCTGACCGTAATTAAATACCTAAAACCCCTGAGCTTTCGGAGGCTCTGCCCCCTGGACCCCACCAAGGGCCCTAAGGCGGGCCCCTGAATGCTCATTTGACCGTAATTAAATACCTGAAACTCCTTAGCTTCCGGACCACATCAATTGCCTTAAGTAGGGCCCCTGGATGCTCATCTAACCGTAATTAATACCTAAAATCCCTGAGCCGTTCCGGGGGCTCTGCCCCCTGGACTCTCCGCCAATAGTGACCTAACAGTGTTACAAATAAGGTATATAAATAAAAACGCTGAGCTTTCGGGGGCTCAGCCCTTTGACCCCCTGCCGGGGCTTCCAAACGTTTTTGCTCATTATGCCACTGCCCTGGAATGTGAGCCCCCTGGAACGTTTGCCCACCCCCCCCCCAATCCCAAACTGCTTCCGGCGCGCCTGACCACCCTCTATAGGACGACTACCCCCTGGGACAACTACCCCCGGACAAATACCCCCAGTAAACTACACCTAGGACAACCCCCCACTATCAAGGACAACTATACTACCACCCGGACAACTACCCCCTACGACAACATCTTCTAGGACAACTAGCCCCGAACAACTATCGTAGGGGGTAGTTGTCCAGCGGGCGGGGTAGTTGTCCGCGCGGGGGTAGTCGTCATATAGAGGGTGGTTGCCCTAGGGGGTAGTTGTCCGAGGGGTGATGGTAGTCTTGGGGGTGGGGGTTGTAGACTGGGGGTTGTTAATTATCCGGGGGTGGATGTCCAGGGGTAGTGTCCGGATACGATCACAAAATAGTAAGTATTTGTCATGATCTAATTTTTCTTTTACCAGCTCTGGTACACATTATTACACAAATATTATAGGAAGTGCTGAGTACTAAATTTAAAAATTGTTTGATGCACTATTCCCAATAAAAAGTTTATAATTTACACTGAAATTTTGCCTCCGAAATTCTCCGCAGTGGAAGAGCGGCTCGGAGCATGGAACTTCAAAGCAAAGTGGAAAGTTTACCCATCCCATTGTTATACGCTGTAGACATACGCATGCGTCTGACTATATTACAAGAGTTTCCCACTGATCTCTATTTCCCGTAGAGATCAGTGGAGTTTCCACTCCTTCTCTATCACCTCCCTGCTTCGAAGATGCATTTCTCCTCAAGATCAGGTGCTATTTGTAAATGCGTGCGGCCGGACGAGCGGATCGGATCAACGAGGGTACATCAACGAGGGTACGGCGCCGAGAGCTACCGGGCCATCCATCACTGCTGCCGTATCGTGCTGGGGCTAACTGGGAGCTAGCTCATATACGGTAAGCGCTTCACATCACGTTGGGCCGCCGAAAAAATATCAATCATCAGATATGATCATGGCGGCACATCAGTTATTTAGAGCAGGACTTTCTAGCTCCAACTCCAATTTGGCTGTGTTTAGACAGATCTGCTTGGTCGGAACAACTGTAAAAGCATCGTCTAACTTGCATTTACACGTAAGTTTAACGTTAGGCCTAGGCCTAGACCCTAATGATAAATTGAATTCCTGTCTTCAGAAAGCATTGGATTTGGATAGTGTTGCGATGTCGGTATTGTTGTAGTCTAGATCTTGTTGTAGGTCTTGTTGTAGGTGAGCCTAAATTGAGATGAGTGAAGTGAATGAGTAATGGCAAGGCATGCGCCTGTGACTGTGCTGAAAAGACTCATATAACCAAAGGAAAAGATCTAGTCTACCCGTATTGGCCCGAATTCACAAAGGAGGTTTGTCGACAAACCTTGGTTTTCGTACGTCATATGATGCGTTTTTACAAACCTGGTTTGTCGAACAAACCTTGGTTTTCGTACGTCATATGATGCGTTTTTTACAAACCTGGTTTGTAAAGAACAAAAGGAGGTTTGGCGAAACAAAAGGAGGTTTGACGACAAACCTTGGTCTGAGCTCAAACCTTGCTTTGTGAAATTCGGGCCATTGACTTTACCCACCGGACTTCTGCTGAAAAGGGAGAGGGGGGGGGGGGGGTAGGGGTGCTGGGAACTAGTAAGATGCATATATAGGGTCTATGCGTACCCTAAATAACACTGAGTGGGGCTGGGGTGCATATTTTTTATTTACCTGGCGGCGAGGGGAAAAGCCCGATTAATTCCAATGAAACCGCTCGCGGAGAGTCTAGTCTGTAGTGCGTGTACAAAGTGATGATAGGCCTAGGCTATACTGAATATGACTTGTTTTGTGCTGTCGATGTAATGTGTGTTGTTGGTACGTAGCCGAGACAGGGATAAAATTAATATATATTTTTCGGGGGCTACTTTTCAAGCTTGTCTGCATAAAAATAACACTCTAAAATTTGTTTTGCATTGAACTCTATGCAAATTGATGGGGGCTCTTTCTGATTTTCGGGGGCTCTTTTGGGCATTTGGGGGCAAATTCGCCCTGTATTTTTTTCACTGAGCCGAGAGCAATTTTTTTCACGCTCTCTGTGCCTTGGTGTCGCATATAATTTCATACTGCCGTCTCTGTTTATTGCATAAGACACCTATCTATTTTGTTTTCTTGTTTTCCTTTTGATGTCTTTCTTCGTTTCTTTCTCTAGATCTACATGTTAAAGGAAACCAAAACCTTCATACTAAGTTACTTTTATTGTAAAGTTTAAGATATTTGAAAAATATCAGTGACAATTTGAACAAAATCGGGCAAGGAATAAGGAAGTAAGAGCTTTTTTAAATGACTAGTCACTAGAGGGCGGTATTCAATTTGATGACATCATCTGTGAACAACTCTCCATGCCTTTTGTACATCAAATTTCATGTTTTTCTTTCTTTCTTGTGATTGAGATAATGTACTCCCCCGAAAGCAAGATATACAGGTAGAATGCAAAATGATATTCTACTTCACATGTTATGAAGTCGGATCAAGAACACAAATAAATAAGAAGAAAACAAAAAAATTGTGAAATTTTATGTACAAAAGGCATGGAGAGTTGTTCACAGATGATGTCATCAAATTGAATACCGCCCTCTAGTGACTAGTCATTTCAAAAAGCTCTTACTTCCTTATTCCTTGCCCGATTTTGTTCAAATTTTCACTGATTTTATTCAAATCTTTTAAACTTTACAATAAAAGTAACTTAGTATGAAGGTTTTGGTTTTCCGTAAGTACAATGCCCTTTATAATACAGGGCACTGCACTGCTAGGTACTCGTACTCCAATTCGGTCTAGTCTAGACTCATCTTGAGCGGTTTCATTGGAATTAATCGAGAAATTCCCCTTGCTGCCGTGTAAATAAAAAATACGCAGCCGGCGTCACATTGCCGCTGCATGTCATGTGCGATTTCTTATTTTCGCAGGCATAGGCCTACCGTGCTAACAATTCCTAATTCTTATTTTCAAATGTTGGCGGGTATGGAAATATGGAGATTAATCTGCTCTTTCATTAGACCAAATTTTCCGTCTAAGAGGCTTAACAAACGAAAGAGACAGAAAATTTGGTCTACTCTTTTATATGACATCTCATTTATCTTAATATCACCTTCAGGATCACAACAAATAAAGGTTTAAATCTCAATTTATTTTTAAAAACACTGACCAATTTAGCATGGTCGCGCAATGCACGTAGACTGCATAGGGATGTGTGCAATGTCTATGGGAAGGGTATTAGCACACAAAACAAGATGCGTGATCAGACACCCTATTGGTAGTTTGGTTAGTAGACTGACATAGGACTAGGACGTGGATAACTCTCCCATTGATATTCCGTGAACAATATTACACAAAATTATCACTAATTTCCTAAGTTCCTTCTCCATTGGGCCACTACCGTACTCAAAATATATTTAAAGTGGGGTGAACTACTTTGTACACAATTATGAATTAGATTCTGTTTTACATCCAACAATTAGGGTTAAATTTTCTCGATGAAAAGTCTACTAAAATGCTTATGCACGCATTTATCACATGCCGTCTTGATCAATGCAATTTTAGTCTACGAATAATGCACAGCCCAGCGTGCGTGGTAAATGCAGTGCATGCAAGGGGTCTTTAGCTTGGTGCTGCTTCTGTGCACGAGCCGCTTGTGGCGAATTCACAGTGCGCACCATCTGAAGATACCGGGCGTGATTCATGGGCGTGGTTATCTTTTCGTCGCGCAAAAAATATGATCAACTGGGCTTAGCGCGAAAATGAAAATAAAAATGCCTCTATGAAGAAAAAGAATAGTAATAAAGGGGGGTCAGATCAAACTGTGTCAGGTAGGTCAGAAAGAAGTGGTACGGTAAAAGGAAACACCGCTTTAAAAGAAACTTAACTGATCACCTTTTACTCATTTTCCTTCTCCTTCTCCTTCTCTTTCTCCTTCTCTTTCACTTTTATCTTCTAGCATGAAATTTTAGTCCTGGTAATGAATTGATAGAAAATGTAATTGAGCGCTATAAATTTTAAGTTTTCATTTACTGCAAGCAGAGAGACTGCAGCAAGTAAGAATATAAATATATCTGGAAGAATAAAAAATGTACATACATGTACTTGTACATGTAGTCAACTTTATTGCAAATGTGTGTCATGCATTTTTCTATCGTGAATGGTTTCTGTAAATATGATGTGCCGCAATTTGATTGTACATCTTGATGGTTCAAAGGACTGGTCTAAAGCAATACAAATAATTAATTGATTGTTTTTCCCCAGAGAGCAAGTTACATTACCAGAAATCTCCACTTCATTTTCATAACTTTGACTGTATTTTATTACATACACTTAACATTGTTCTTTCAGCAACCTACAAGAAACAAAGGCACAGACAGCATCCTTGGCAACCTCTTTGGCTATAAATTCTTCGATCGGTTTGATGAACGAAGCAAGATTGTGGTGATAGATGGCAACATTGGTGCTGGGAAGACTTCACTGGCCAAGGGTCTGGCTGACCAGCTTGGAATGAAATATATGAAGGAGGCTACTATTCATTACTTTGATGAGAAAGAGCTTGGAGAGGGAAAGAAATATGATGACAAATTCATGGGTAAGGCATTTCACTTGCATTTGTATCCTTAAAAATGTAGATTTTGGAATCAGGAAGAATATTCTATTGCCCTCAAGATATTGTTTATTTTATTTTCCTGTTGCCTGTATTTTACTGTACTGTATTTAAAAAAACCGCATAATTTCGTTTTAAAAACACTTCTCTTGTTTTGTAGTAGTTTTTACTTGCAGAGTAACACCCTCTTTTGAATGGTATCATCTGCAAAATGATCAAAGCAAGAAACAAAAAATGCTTGTACTGTGTTCGGTAGTAGATTAAAGGGCACGAAACACGAATTTCTCCTTACTCTCCAGTTTCGCGTATGTTGCATGCACGTGAATACTGCGGTCGCGTCGTCCGTATTATACCCGATTGGCTCCAAGGGCCACGGGAAAGACACATACATGTACATGTAGTCTCGTCATGCTACAGCCCTTTAAAGGTGAAATTCAAAGAAGATCACAAATATGTCAATTAATGTATCACTAGAAACTGGTAAGCTAACAGATGGCCATCGGACCAGTTTTAGGTCAACTACATATCGGTGATTTATAAAAACACAAATACAACCACCTTCATAGCAGCTATGATATACGAAAGATTCGCCGGAAAATAACGATGTTTTAATGACGTCACTATATGGACCAACGCTGCCCAAGCAGACGACATCCCATGGAGAATGAACATAATTGCAAAGCTATTATTTCTCAAATTATAATGAGTTTAGTGTATGTAAATGTAATGGCATGTCAAACCATTCAAAAGGGGATATGACCCGATTCTAATAACTAAAATCTTTTGCTTGTAAATACACAGGATAGGGCTTAATTAACAATCAAAGAAACCAGACTTTCAAATTGAAAAGCCCCGGAATTATATTAAGGACGGCATTTGTTCCCTCTTGAAACGCCGAACATGTGTGCAGCTGAATATACAATGGCGTCTATGATGGCGTCTTATTTTGTTTACAAGCGACAGATTCCTTTATTTTTGTATCGCTGCATTTGTCATCAAAATAAAACCATGCGCGGGGTTTAGAGTGAGGCAATATATTATACATTTAGCCTGACGGTAGTGAAGTAAGAGAAAGAACTCAAGAGTAGATAAAAACACAGACACTGAAAATGTGTGAGATGTCATGGGACATCGTCTGCTTGTGCAAGTCATGTCCATACTATGATCTCACACATCTCAGCAGCGTTCAGAGAGCTCTTCAGGTGCTTTGCCGGGACGGTATTTAAGCGTTTTTATGCCTCCGTTACGAAGTAACCGGAGGCATTATGTTTTCGGGTTGTCCGTCCGTACGTACGTACGTCTGTATGTACGTACGTCCCGTTCTTGTGATCGCGTTATCTGAAGAACCGATTGATGGATTCCTGCCAAACTTTGGTCATGTATGTATCTTGCAGAGCCGATGAACTGATTAGATTTTGGGGTCACGAGGTCAAAGGTCAAAGGTCACAGGGCTCATTAGGTATGCAAAAACAGCTCGTGATCGCGTTATCTGAAGAACCGATTGATGGATTCCTGCCAAACTTTGGTCATGTATGTATCTTGCAGAGCCAATGAACTGATTAGATTTTGGGGTCATGAGGTTAAAGGTCAAAGGTCACAGGGCTCATTATGTATGCATAAACAGCTTGTGATCGCGTTATCTCAAGAACCGATTGATGGATTGCTGCCAAACTTTGGTCATGTATGTATCTTGCAGAGCCGATGAACTGATTAGATTTTGGGGTCACGAGGTCAAAGGTCAAAGGTCACAGGGCTCATTAGGTATGCAAAAACAGCTCGTGATCGCGTTATCTGAAGAACCGATTGATGGATTCCTGCCAAACTTTGGTCATGTATGTATCTTGCAGAGCCAATGAACTGATTAGATTTTGGGGTCATGAGGTTAAAGGTCAAAGGTCACAGGGCTCATTATGTATGCATAAACAGCTTGTGATCGCGTTATCTCAAGAACCGATTGATGGATTGCTGCCAAACTTAGGTCATGTATGTATCTTGCAGAGCCGATGAACTGATTAGATTTTGGGGTCATGAGGTTAAAGGTCAAAGGTCACAGGGCTCATTATGTATGCATAAACAGCTTGTGATCGCGTTATCTCAAGAACCGATTGATGGATTGCTGCCAAACTTAGGTCATGTATGTTACTTGCAGAGCCGATGAACTGATTAGATTTAGTGGTCATGAGGTCAAAGGTCAAAGGCCACAGCACACATGTATGCAATAACAGCTTGTGATCGCATTATCTCAAGAACCGATTGATGGATTCCTGCCAAAATTAGGTCATGTATGTTACTTATTTAACTCAGGACATCTTGCAGAGCCAATGAACTGAGTAGATTTTAGGGTCATGAGGTCAAAGATCAAAGAGTCATATATATATGTATATGAGAAATTGCTTGTAATCACGATATTCTGAGAACCTGTCAATGGATTACAATTGAACTTGAATCCAAAAAATTTCTTCGGTTTTGGTTTGTAAAATTGCTCTATGACGGAGGCATCATTTTCGACTGCGCGCAGTCGAATTCCATCTAGTTTAAATTTATAATAATCATTAGTTTGAATGTTTCCAAGCATTGAATTTTGATAACCTTGTCGAATCAAAGTTTCAACTTTGCATTAATGAAAATAAAGTTAGTTTTTAAAATCAATGAATATCTACTTTAAACTATATGTACATTTCACTGTTTGCTTCCTTGTCATAGGCTCTTGTTCACTGGAGCGTTTCTATGCCGATCCCTTTGCGAAGGATGGGCACTCCTTCCGCTTTCAGCTCGCCATGTATGCAGTTAGATTTGTTCAGTATGCAGATGCACTACAACATCTACTAGAAACAGGTAGGTTTAGCAAACATTAAAAAAAGTATGACCATTTAAAAACGAACGTGATCATAAATAGACGGGACCATCGAGATAGTAGTTATGATCTATACCCATAGATTTTTCTATATTACCCTTAGATAACTTAATTAACAGATTATTTCCATTTTCTTTCTTTTTTCCTGTCACTCTTTTAATGTTGGGGTCAGGCAATTGGCCAAAATATCTCCAGGAGAATTTTTTTTTTGTAAATTTGAAATGAGTGAAGAGTAAAGGAGGGACAATTAAACTGTAGAGGGAATCCAACATTAAAAAAACCATGAAATTAATTGTGGTTCATACATACACAGTCACCAAATTTAATATCCAATAAAATGAAGCATTACAAGAACATAAATGATAGAATAGATTACACTGTCATAATGTTCCTAAATGGGCAGTGTATACATGTAATCATGTCTCAGGCCTCGAATTACATCAAATTTGGGTCAAGGCCACTATTTTGAGAGGGCACAAATCCACTGAAAGGGGCACAAATCTATCCTAAGGGGCACTAAGGCCAACATGGAAAGTGCGCGTAAAATCACGTCACGCTGTTGTTTTCAAGGTGGGGGGGGGGGGGATATGTGCACCCAGGGGCCGATCCAGGATTTCTTTCTTTAGGGGGGGGGGGGGGCTGGGGGCCACTTTTTTTTTTTGTCCCAAAAAAAATCGTAACGACTCAGCCAGCCGCTGAATAAGCGGGGGGGGGGGGGTAAAAGGACACTTTTTTTTTGTTTTTTGGTCTCGAAATTTGAAAATTTGACATTTTGTTCCCTTTGGGGTGGGGGGAGGGGTGGGGGGGGGGTGACGTCACCTTTTTTAGATCAGCCATTTGCATAATTTTTTTTTGTGTGTGTGTTTCATTTAAAAAAAAAGGGGGGGGGGGGGTTTGCTCCAAAATACAGTCATAAAAAAAAACCAAAGGGGGGGTTTAACGCCCCAAACGCCCCCCCCCCTGCGTACGTGCCTGCTCGTCTGAATACAGTTCCCCTCCCTCCGCGCAAAGCGCGGAAGCTTTTACGTTTCATTAAATCATTAGAGAAAGAAGAGGATTCGTTGTACCGTTTTTTACTCTTAATCCTCGTCTAAATTCATCCCCCCCCCCCTTCCCCGCAAAGCTCGGAAGCTTTTACGTTTCATAAAATCATTAGAGAAAGAAGATGATTCGTTGTCCCGTTTTTCACTCTTAATCCTCGTCTAAATTCATCCCCCCCCCCTCCCCCGCAAAGCTCGGAAGCTTTTACGTTTCATTAAATCATTAAAGAAAGAAGACGATTCGTTGTCCCGTTCTCGACTCTTAATCCTCGTCTGAATTCAGTTCCCTCACCTCCTGCGCGATCGAAGCGCGGAAGCTTTGACATTTAATTTAATTATTAGAGAAACTACGATTCGTTGTACCGTTCTCGAAAATAATCCTCGCCTGCATGAATACAGTTTTCCGCGGAAGCTTTTATGTTTCATTAAATCATTAGAGAAAGAAGACGATTCGTTCTACCGTTCTCGACTCTTTATCCTTTTCTGAAGTCCAAGGGAAGCGCGGAAGCTTAGACGTTTTTAATAAATTATTAGGGAAAGAAGACGATTCGTCTCGATCTCGACTACCGGTATTATCCTTTTCTGAACTCAATTCACACCCCTCCCGCGCGATGGGCGGAAGCTATGACGTTTTAATTAAAACGTATGGGAAAGAAGACGATTCTTTGTACCATTATCTCGACTCTTAATCCTTTTCTGATTTAATTCCAGACCCTCCTCCCGAGAAAAATCCAAGTTTTTCACTGATTAAAAACTGTGAAAACGCACTAAAAAGGTCACAACGCGAAGTAAAGATGTTGAACCAACGATGGGTAAACAAAACTTCCCGATATTGATTGGTTCAAATAAAAAGGATGGATTGAAAAACTAAGCCTGAGTCATTACGGTTTTTTTTGTGCCAAACGTTTCAGTCATTTGGATGAAGACATTCTTTCATATCTCCGTATCGGCAATTAAGTCCCGCCAATTAATTTAGGAGTTCCATAGTGGAAATTAAGTCTCGCCAATAATTATTGTTTTAGATCTCCGTAGGGGCAACAAAGTCTTGCCGATTATCATTGTTTTAGATCTCCATAGGGGCAACAAAGCCTTGCTGATAATTATTGTTTTTAGAGTTCCGTAGGGGCAACAAAACCTTCCAATAATTATTGTTTTTAGAGCTCCGGAGGGGCAACAAAACCTTGCCGACTTATCATTGTTTTTAGAGCTCCGGAGGTGCAACGAAACCTTGCCGATAAATATTGTTTTTAGAGCTCCGGAGGGGCAACAAAACCTTTCGATAATTATTGTTTTTAGAGCCTCGGAGGGGCAACAAAACCTTGCCGATAAATATTGTTTTTAGAGCTCCGGAGGGGCAACAAAACCTTGCCGACTATTATTGTTTTTAGAGCTCCAGAGGGGCAACAAAACCTTGCCGATTGTTATTGTTTTTAGAGGTCCGTAGGGGCAACTAAACCTTGTCGATAATTATTGTTTTTAGAGCTCCGGAGGGGCAACAAAACCTTTCGATAATTATTGTTTTTAGAGCCTCGGAGGGGCAACAAAACCTTGCCGATAAATATTGTTTTTAGAGCTCCGGAGGGGCAACAAAACCTTGCCGACTATCATTGTTTTTAGAGCTCCGGAGGGGCAACAAAACCTTGCCGACTTATCATTGTTTTTAGAGCTCCGGAGGTGCAACAAAACCTTGCCGATAAATATTGTTTTTAGAGCTCCGGAGGGGCAACAAAACCTTTCGATAATTATTGTTTTTAGACCCTCGGAGGGGCAACAAAACCTTGCCGATAATTATTGTTTTTAGAGCTCCGGAGGGGCAACAAAACCTTGCCGACTATTATTGTTTTTAGAGCTCCGGAGGGGCAACAAAACCTTCCGATAATTATTGTTTTTAGAGCCTCGGAGGGGCAACAAAACCTTGCCGACTTATCATTGTTTTTAGAGCTCCGGAGGTGCAACAAAACCTTGCCGATAAATATTGTTTTTAGAGCTCCGGAGGTGCAACAAAACCTTCCGGTAATTTTTGTTTTTAAAGCTCCGGAGGGGCAACAAAACCTTCCGGTAATTATTGTTTTTAGAGCTCCGGAGGGGCAACAAAACCTTGCCGATAAATATTGTTTTTAGAGCTCCGGAGGGGCAACAAAACCTTGCCGACTATTATTGTTTTTAGAGCTCCGGAGGGGCAACAAAACCTTGCCGACTATCATTGTTTTTAGAGCTCCGGAGGGGCAACAAAACCTTCCCGACTATTATTGTTTTTAGAGCTCAGGAGGGGCAACAAAACCTTGGCGACTATCATTGTTTTTAGAGCTCCGGAGGGGCAACAAAACCTTGCCGACTATTATTGTTTTTAGAGCTCCGGAGGGGCAACAAAACCTTGCCGACTATCATTGTTTTTAGAGCTCCGGAGGGGCAACAAAACCTTCCCGACTATTATTGTTTTTAGAGCTCAGGAGGGGCAACAAAACCTTGGCGACTATCATTGTTTTTAGAGCTCCGGAGGGGCAACAAAACCTTCCGGTAATTATTGTTTTTAGAGCTCCGGAGGGGCAACAAAACCTTCCGATAATTATTGTTTTTAGAGCCTCGGAGGGGCAACAAAACCTTCCGATAATTATTGTTTTTAGAGCCTCGGAGGGGCAACAAAACCTTGCCGACTATCATTGTTTTTAGAGCTCCGGAGGGGCAACAAAATCTTCCGGTAATTTTTTTTTTTAAAGCTCCGGAGGGGCAACAAAACCTTCCGGTAATTATTGTTTTTAGAGCTCCGGAGGGGCAACAAAACCTTGCCGATAAATATTGTTTTTAGAGCTCCGGAGGGGCAACAAAACCTTCCGGTAATTATTGTTTTTAGAGCTCCGGAGGGGCAACAAAACCTTGCCGACTATCATTGTTTTTAGAGCTCCATATGGGCAACAAAACCTTTTTGAACATTACAAGTCGGGTTGGCTTAAGATGACTATAATGTCGGCAAAATTTTTTTGTGGATTAAAATATTGTGGCCGTAAATGGTTTGATTTTGAAAAGGGCATTCCGGCCAGTGAGAGGGGCATGGCGGCAAATTGCCGATTGCCGGTGGGTAATTCGAGCCCTGATGTCTTAAGCAACACTAACATGTGCCCGGGACACATGGGTGCCCGGGACACATGGGCACCCAAAATCTCAGTTTGGACCTCCAAATTGTCAAAACTTAGTCTAGAGCCCTGTCTTAAGCCCTAAGAGTGTGTGTGTTAATGCTCTTGTACAGTTGTATCTCATTAAAGGGAAGGTTGAGTTCTGGGAAGAGGTGATAAATAATTTGCAAGTGTTATCATGGAATGGAAGAACATCAGATAAAACATGTTCCCTGAAAAGCATGGCTCTTCAAATGCCTTAATATTCTAAACATGGCATGTAACATCATAAAAATCGGGACAGATTTTTATGTCACCAAATTTCGTATTATTTTGATGATTCCAGAACCTTGCAGTACACACCAATATTTATATGCCAGATGATCAAACTTTTCTGATTAATGCCACAATGTTTCTCTCACAATGCAATCGCATGACCAGAACTCAACTTTATCTTTAATTCATTTAGATGGTGACACATTTTTGTAAAATTATAAAGATTAATGAATTCTATTTCTACTTGCAGGTCAAGGTGTAGTATTGGAGAGGTCAGTGTATAGTGACAGTGTCTTCATGGAAGCCATGTTCAAAATGGGATACTTCAGGAAAGAATGTAAGTCTTCTTGTACTTTGTAGAGTTGAAATCTATTATTCCAATCAAATGTTTGTTTACCATCACAAGAACAAGGATTGTGAAGTATGGTTCATACATTGATTGATGACCTCCTGATCTTCAAGAAGAGATTCCAAACCTAGCCAATATCTTATCAATTCTGTCAGTATTTTCTGACTGAAGACCTGAAAGGTCATCTAAATATCCATGAGAATTGCATGGTACCCTTAGCCTGCCAGCCTGCTTCTGATCAAGCCACTAGGTTATTAATGAATTAAAATCACAAACTGTATATCTAGTTAGTTAGTAACCAAAATTTGTGTCGTCACTGTAACTTCAAGCAGCGCTAGATTCGATTTTCACACAGGTTAAAGGTCTACACAAGAACTACTCTTGGTATGATAATGATAATAATAATAATTAAACATTTTTATATAGCGCATAACACATCTAGGCAAATTGCATGTCTCTATGCACTTGAAGAAAAAGAAAAAACAATGCAATTGAACATGCTCATTTTTTTTTATTGGGATCATAAGTGCAAAGTTTCTCTTAAAAATGTTATGTAACTAATCATGGACTTACCCATATGACAATGACCTCAATCAGAGAATATTTATATATTCCAAATTTAGTATCTAACCTATGATTTCTTACACCATCCAGGGTTGTCATAGTGTTTCACATACTAGCGCTTTTGGATTAATATCAGCTTTATTCGTAGAACATCAATGCCATAAACCAGATGCAGTTTTCCTTGTAAATGTATCCATGTAGATGGATCATTTAAACCAGTCAAAATTCTCCAAGATTTTTGGTTTGTTTTGTTTTTGTGTGTGTGTGTGTGGGAGGGGGGGGGGGGTCATATAGTAAGTGACATATGTACAAGTGAAGCTCTTTGGAAGACCATTGCAGTGGTCATGACCAGTGCTTACAAGACTTGCTAGTACTAAATAAAACATTGTCACCTTTCAATTGAAATTCACCAGGCTATGACTACTACCAAGAGGTCGAGAAGATCTCCATGTATCGTCTCAAACCGCCCCACTGCGTCATCTACATGGACACGCCCGTTGCAGATCTGATTGACAATGTCAAGTCAAGAGGCTTGGTGAGTGGATCAAGCTTGGATGGAGGGAAGGGAGGGGAGGGGGGGGGGGGGGTGGGGAAGGAAGTGGGGAGGGGGCAGTGGTTTATCAGGTGATTCAACAAAATCTCTGGTAACGATTAATAGATGATTGTTATGCCTCCGCCGAGCGAAGGAGGAGGCGAGGCATTTTTTAGGGGGGGGGGGGGAGTTCTCCATCCGTCCATCATGCATTCTCGTTATTGAGATATCTCAAAAACCACTAGAGGTATGAGGCTTAAACTTAGTGATAATATGTATCACCATAAGAAGACGATCTGATCAGATTTTTGGTAAATAGGTCAAAGAGGTCAATTAGTAAAAATACAGGTTTTTGATATTGTGATATCTCAAGAACCGCTAGAGACATGGGGTTCAAACTTGGCAATAGCATGTATCATCTTTAGTAGACAATCTGATTTGATTTTTTGTAAGTAGGTCAATAGTCAAAGGTTATAGAGGTCAATTTCTGAAATGAAAGGTTTTTAGCCTTGCTATCGTATATATCAAGAACCACTTGAGGAAAAAGCTTCAAACGTTGTGATAGTATGTATTACCATAAGAAGACAAGATAAGTAGATTTTAAATTCATTTGGTCAAAATTTGAACGGCTTAGAGGTCAATTTTTTAATCAACAGGTTTTAGCTTCATTATCACCATACATTGAAAACCACTTAGCATATGAACTTCAAACCTTGTGCAGGTATGCATCACCAGAGGAAGACAATTTGATTAGATTTAGGGACAAGTAGATCAAAGGTCAAAGGTCACAAGGGTCAATCTCTGAAATGACAGGTATTATCCTTGTTATGATATCTCAAGAACCACTTGAGGTATCAACTTCAAACTTGGTGATAATGTGTATCACTATAGTAGTCTCATTTGATTTGGGGGTACGTAGGTCAAAGGTTATAGCGGTCAAATTTCTGAAATTACATATATTATCCTTGTTATCATGACATCTCAAGAGTGCACGCACATGCTAATCCAATCCCATTGAATTTCACATCTGAGAAGTGATTACCCAACTAACCCTTGGGTAGAAGAGGAGCAATGTAGATCAAATGCCTTTGCTCCAGGATATAAGTATCCTGCCAGGGTTTGAACCCATGACTTTTGCATTTCCAATCATGTGATTGAACTACTGTTAGAATAATATTTATTGACACATGTATTTCATTTCTCAAATAGTCTTTAAACTTTGCCTTATAGTTTTTTTTTTCACTCAAAAATACTTCATTATCACTGCTCTAAAGGCTGGCTTGCTGCATTTTATCCTTTAAAAATGGCTGTGTTCCTTAGAAGTTATACATTACATTTATAAATAAGTACTTCTTGACATTGTAACTCCACATCTTATGTGTGAGCATACCTTTACCCAACAAAGTCATGTCAACATTGCAGTGTAATTCTAATAGTATTTTTATCTGTAGAGAGCCACAATGGTGTTACTTCTGTGTATCCATTTGTAAGATAGGGCCTGTTTCACTGTTGGCAGACAATTGAGTCTGAGTGATGTACAAAGCAATCATTCAGATCTCTGTACCATACAGTGTTATTCTCCAGACTTTTCAAAATAAACATTCTTTAGATTGTATCAATTCCGTATTGCAGTGAACATACATTTTCCATGCATTTTTTTTTAAAAAGCTCATATTTCCAAATGCTAACATTCAAAGCTTTTCCATTTCTCTTTCTTTATCTCTTTCTTCCATGTTCTTCTTCTTGCTCTATGTCTGTTATTTATCTTCTGTTGAAAATTTGCATCTTTGTGTGTATCTCGTGTTCTGTTTACGTTTCCACTTTTCTTGTGTGTGTATCTCCCCACACCCTTCCCCCTCCCTCATTTTCTTTATCTTCTATCTGCCTCCCTCAATGGCTTTCCGTCTATAACCGTCTATCTCTATTTTCTTTTTTTCTCATGCTTTTCTCTCTCTCCTTCTTTTCTCTCCCCCTCTCTTTTTCTCTTACATTTTTAAAAAAATCTCTCCCCCTCTCTCTCTCTCTCTCTCCGTCCCATATTTCTCCTTTTCTGCACTTACTCGGTCTCCCTCTTTCTCTGTCTCCCTCTTTCTCTATCTCTCTGTTCTATTTTTCTTCCCTGTCTCATCTTTCTTTGTCTTTTTTCACTTTCTCTCCTCATTTTATTTTTCTTTCCTATCTTTCCCTCACCCCCTTCTCTCTCTCTCTCTCTTCCCCCTTTCTCTCTCTCTCTCTCTCTCTCTCTCTCTCTCTCTTCCCCTTTCTCTTTCTCTCTCTCTTCCCCTTTCTCTTTCTCTCTCTCTCTCTCTCTTTCTCTCCTTCTCCTTGCCCCCTCTCTTGATCTGATTAAGGAATATGAGCAGAACATCCCTATTGAGTACCTAGAAGCTTTGGAGGATGAATACAAGCACAAGTTCTTACCAGCAATGCAGGAGACCTCAGAGGTCATGGTCTATGACAAGAATGTTCCTCGAGATGTTGACAGGGTAAGATGGCATCAGGAGTGATCCCACGGTTGCTTTGGCAACATTTACTCTGGGTTTGTTGCACAAGCAGATCTAGAACAATGTTTTGGGGGTATGGGCTTTGATGTGAGGCTTGAGAGTTTTTGCGTTCATTTCTTTATGTGCCTCTCAAAGATGCGCCTCTCTCTAGAACCGCTAAAGGTTTGAAGATATGGACTTAAAAGCTTAAAGGAGGATGGAAAAGTTGGAAATGTCAGATTAGGATAAATTTTGCATGTAAATAAAGGAGAGAGTCTTGTAAATGAAAAAAAGTAAGTATGAAAGCCAAACATTGTCATCCAGCCAAGTAATCTTTGTTTGAAGTGAACGATTTGCAACTCTAAATTTTGCCCGCTGAGCAACTCTGTTTTTACATCCCGGACTTGTGTGACGTAAGAGGGAAGATCTGCTGCTAATTATTGTCTATGTACGTCAGTTTTCCCTTTGATCTGTTTTCTGATTTAAAAAAAACATGCAACAAATATACATTTTTTGTCCATATTACATGCAAAAAACAAGTCAAAATAAGGACAAAATCTTATTTCAGCAATGTTATTCACAAGCCTTGAAAAGTTACAAGGTGTCATTTGAACTAATGCCAGTTTTAGTAATATTCAGCCAAAATAAGACAGGAGAGGTATTTACCAGCTCTGTCTTAATGGCTTGCTTATACCTCTATGCGTATGATGATATTTCAACCATTACACTTTCGTTTTAATCACCCTGGGTAACTGGAATAGCAAAATGAATATACCGGTATATTTCATTTTTGTCATGACATCTCATTATTCTCATACTTTTATTTTATATTATTTTATTTTATTTTATAGGTGGCAGAAGATTTTGATATGCTAAAGTTTGAGCACCTGCCATGGAATGAAATGAATAATGACAACTTTGACAAGCTCTACAGATTGTAAGTACTTGACCTCTGTCGACCTCTGAAACTTTGGTTAACCCATTGTCTACTGAATTCTTATAACCCCTCAGGTTTAATACAAAAATCACCCTGTCCCAGTCGTCAATGGGTTAACCTTTTTGCCCTTAAATGATCTTTTGACCTGTATTCTCCATGCTTTTTTGTCCATGATTTCACTGTTGCGCCAACAGACGCAGAGCTGCCAACTAGTACGGATTTCCTATAATTGGTACAGAAATTAACGATCATTACGGCAGTACGGAATGTTGTCTAAAATTACGGATTACAAAAAGAAAAAAAAAAAACTTTTTCTTTTTCCGCAAAGGGATCTATCGTAGCGAGTGATGTTGCAGTATGGCGGCCATCCAACACTCGCTGCATGAGAAAGACAGAAAAGTATCAAGTATTCTCCTAATAGAAGCCAATTTTTTGTCGAAAACCGATGTGTTTTGATGACCTGAAAATCAATATTTAGCAACTTTGTGTGATTAAAATCACCAACAAATTTCAGATAATCATGCACGCATGCATTTGCATGCCATTTTTTAAAGATTCATAGCACCACATAGGAAATTACTGATTTATTCCCCAAATTACTGATTTTGAACCTTCTGATTTTCTGTTCTGGAGGTTGGCAGCTCTGCAGACGACGCCTATCCAATACTGGAGAAGGCTGCTGGATTTAATTTACCAAAAGAAATAAACTTACATTGTGATTAAAATCTTAAATAGCTCAATTGACCAGCCCACTTTAAAGAACACTTACATTGGTTGGTTGGTTGGTTTTATCTGACTGCTAAGAAAGAATATGTATGCATCCAGGGGAACAATGGTTAAATGCCCTCTGATGGACTTGGTAATGAGGATTAATACCTTACCAAAGGGCACATTGACTTGGTTTCAAACCCGGTTATGAGACCACTGCTCTACCACTGAGCCTTTGCACCTCCTATCTGCTATAAGTAGGGGCACCAAAAATCTAGACAAATGAACAGTGAGTTTCACAATTATTGCAGTGTTTGTATTGTGTTTTTCACCATTCCTGAAGCAATTCATTTATGTAAAGTGTATATGACAACAACATATTTTGTGTCGTACCATGTTAGATATCATAATATCAAGGAAGATTTTGTTTTCTCTGTATATCTATTTCCATGCATTGTGTCTGTGACAAGATGAGGATAGATTGAATGTATGCCTTGACATCTTTATTAACTTTGTCAGTACCTTTCTTTGAGAGTCTGACAGAGCTTGCCCCTCATATTTTGTGTTTGAAGACTCTGTGCTTGATCAAAGCACCAAGTGATGTACTGAATAGAACCCATTGGTCCGTATTCTACTAATAAGACAATATTAATATTAATAAGACAAATAGTATGAGTAGAATACATGCCATTATGTGTGTTTAATATTTCAGGTGTTAAGTGTGTATTACATTTTCTAATTATCCATTGATAGTGTCCATGACAAGATGAGTGCATCTTTAAAGTGTACATTCATAATTATTTCCCTTGTCAGTGTCCGGGAATATTTGCCTTTGGTATATTTTATTTCATTTTTGGGGTATTTTTTTACACTTCTTTCATTATCACCAAGGGTAAAATGCACTCACAAGAATCTGCATTACTTAATTTCATTATGATTTCATGATATCTGTTTCATAATATTTGTATTATCTCATGTTATCAGCATATGATATTACATTTTCTCTATTTCCCTGCGCAGTGTCCGTGACAAGGGGAGGGTAGCACAGTCCATGTGGATGCCCAAGTACCTCCCTGAGATCACGTTTGGTGCCGATCAGTTCAATGACCTCACAATTGATTTTGAACAGGTAAAGTATTCCCCTCATCAAGATCCTCCATAATGGGAAATGTATATCGGGCTCGTCGTTAACAGTTGCGCTGAACATATGGGCTGCCAAAATCTAAGTCTGGACCCCAATTTTTTAATTTTTACATAGGGCTCATGCATTTAGACTATTAAAAGTTAAATCCGGGTCCCTTTCCAAAAAAGTTGGTGTGGATCCCTGTGTTATAATAATAATAATACAGTGCTTTTATAGCACATATGACTGCCATAGCATCTCTTTGTGCTTAGGAAGAAAGATCTATAGAAAGGAGAAGTAGGTGCTGGTAATGCATGACTGTAACTCAGTATAAATGGAGATAAAAGGAGAGTCTGAACTTATAACGTGTGGCTGCTTCCTTCATATGAGTGGGGTAGTGTTCCAAATTGCAGGGGCAGCATAAGTAAAGGACAACTTCCCATAGAAGTTGGTATGAACAACTGGACACTTCCAGATATGAGATGTAAGATCTAATTATTTTAATCATTCAGTTTGAGACCATTTCAAATTGACCATTGCTTTATCTCCTTCACACAACACTCTTCTTGGTAGATTGCACTCTGGAAACCACATGGTTTAAAAGAACATATATCTCTGTATTTAATATCAGCATAACACATCTCTGACATAGATGAGTATATATGGTAAATACTATCATGCAGAACAAAAAGAACCCTGGGGAAACACCAATATCCCATACATGGACTATCCAACCGTTTCATCATTCTATCATTGTTATATAAGTCTTTGATTTTGTTATATTGTGTTATTGTTTTTTATGATGATTTTTCGGAAATAAAACAAACAAAATGGACAGATGATTCTAATCTATTAGTACTTCCTGCTGTCTATGCTTTATCCCTATTTTAACCGGGGTGGGGGGGGGGGGGGGTGGAAATTTGACCCCCATCCCCCCTGTAGTAATTTAACGACTTCTCCGGAACCGCGGCAGATATAAAGTTTTTGTTCATGACTTTTTTTCCTTTGAAGTCTTGCGCAACTTTTGGTACTAAATTTGCGAAGATTAGACCAAGGTCACATGACCAATAAGGGTCAAAGGTCATCCAAAAACGGTGACTTTTCCATACATCTACAATGTATGTGTTTTCTTGCATACACATCAGTGTGTATCTGATAATATATGCAATTTATGCATGCACATATAAATATCTACTACAATGAACAATGTAAATACCTAAATCTCAAACTTGTCCATGTCTGTGATTCATTTTGAGTCAATGTAATACTTTTTATTGTGTTTTTCTTTGAAATTTAGAAAAATTAGCGTACTTCGGTCATTAATATGCACATAATTTGCATATTTAACTTTGGATCGTTAAAACGAAAATATGAACGCGTCACTAATACTTCAATGTACCTCCATGCAAAATTGGACATGAATCGGTCTACGAAGTGTGTCCACTTCAGTATTAAACACCAACCAATTTTGATCACTCTTTATCTCCTATTTCTCTACACAGAACCACTCGATAGGAAAAGGTTTTGCACCAGGCTTCAATCCTGACCAGCCCTTCTCCAAGCTTTTCTTCAAGTAGGACTTTGCAATCTGATCAAAAGTCAACCTAGGCCACTATCAAAATGGACTCCAAACACCCACATTATCATAAACACAATTTGAGAATATGTACATGTAGCTGCCAACCTTTCCCATTCTTAAGACGTTCACAGTTTGTTCAATGAATTCCTATTTTGGAGGACTAATTTATCTTTTGAGGGAATAATCAATCTTTGGGGGCCTTAAATCAATAAGAACTATAAGATAGATATCTATCTCTCTTGTTTTGAAAAGTTCTTGTGATAACCATATGAAAGACACTGTATTCTTAATTTTACCTCAAGTTATTCCTAGTTTTGGTTATGGAAGTTTGGTAAGCATGGATATAGGGTGAGATGAGGTATTGCATAGTTTAACCATTGAATCAATAAACTTGCATGTTGACAAAAGAAAGATGTCTCTCTTCACCAGAACTTGAGATGAAGAAGCTATTGCCTGATGTTGTTTGCCCTTTAATGAGAAAAATATGAATGATTATTAAGAAAGTGTTGAGGCCTTTATTATATTAGAATATAATAGAATTGACTGCTCCCAAAAGGAGGTGAATTTATTCAAAATCTGACTTGGAAATCTCTTGACATCAGATCCATTCAGCCCAATACAGTGCTGTATGCAGTTTAAATCACCCAAATTATGACAGTGTATGTTCCAAATATTGTTTGACAAAGGAAAGCTTGAAATTCATTCTTGAAAGTTTCTGTTTTACTTGTAGCAGTAAAAACTGGTCAAATGAAGATGTTCACATTGGTAGAAAAACGATAAATGACTCCATTTTGATATTGGCCATTAATACAGTATATTTTGTATATTTTTGAGAATGAAGAGTCTGTTCCCATCTCCTAACAACCTTGCTTAAGCAGTAAAATACTTGTCTCCATGTGCAGTATGGCAGTATTGTGCACTGCTGTAAACATGTTTGATGGCATGTTGTTGATTTGACCATTGGAACAGCTCTTTGTATAGATAGATACATTTGCATGAGGGTTGGACACCAATACTTGACTGGGTTTAGCATGATAACCCCCAAATAGCCAAGACTATTATTGGACAGACAAAGCATGTTCTTTGGATAACCTTTGACGTAGGAACACCAAAATAGTAGACATATATTTATAACTGACATCAGATGCCAATTGTAGACAATAAACATTCAACAAACATTAGTTTGCTATTTTCTAATATGTTTCACTACAGGAATGACAAGATTCATGATTAGAAAAGAGTAGAGTTGAGAAATCTGGTCACTGTATTAGTCTTTGACAACTAGAGTACAGTGTATATGATTGTATGTCTGTCTCATATCACCCCTTGGCATCTACCCTTGCAGTATTCCCATAATTAACTCATTCACAGTTTGATTACCGGTAGTATTTCTTGTACACCGTTTTAATCCAACATAACATGCACAAGTCCTTCTATAATGAAGCATGCAAGTGTGTTTATCTTTTAATCTCATTAAAGTTTGTAAATAAAGGAGTTTTATTTGAAGTTTTAGCACCCTTCTGTACAACAGGAGATGTAAAAGAAATTAATAAACTATGAAAGACTTCTTATGCAGCAGTCTGAAAGGAATAAATGTGTTTATTGTCTTTTATCTATTAGACCAGGCCTTCTCAACTAGTTTATTAGAAGTGCCAAAACAAAAAGAATTTTTAGTTGAAGTGCCAACCTGTATGTTTGATTTTGCTGCGAGGGAGCGTAGCGACCGAGCCGACAATGGATGGGGGTGCAGGGGGCAGAGCCCCCTGCAGCTGATGTATTTTAGGGCTTTCTAAAGGCCCAGATGGGGGGGGGGGGGCTTGGTTGACCAACAAAATTCCCAAAAATCGTGCCGTTTCACTTTTTTTCTTTTTCACTTGGCCACAATGGAGATCCCGTCCAAAAGGCCCCTTAGAAGTCATTCCTGGCACCATGCGTCTTTTTTTCCCCTACCATATTCCTCTTAATCCCCCTCCGAGACCGCACAGCTCCCTGGTAGCACTAAGTCCTCCCTTTCCACCCACAGCCCAGCGCAGCCAGTATGGATTGTATGCGTTGTTGGTTGCTGGCCTGTACTCGGGGTGAAAAGTGGTGATGAACTGAGAACTTCTAACCCTCATCCAACAAATGCGCAAGCATATAACAAAATAATTAGATTAGAAAATCATGACGTGAACCTTACATTCGCTCTAATTCACGATTTCCTTAGTTGCTTTTTGCTGGTTCAAATGGCTATGTCTTTAATCAGGAGAGTTATTCGAGCACAAAAAAAACAGGATGGCCCATAGCAGACCCCCCAAAATAAAATCCTTTGAACATAATCAGCATTTTGAAGTAAATATTGATTATAAGAATCACCAGAAAAATTATTTACTATTATTTGTACCAAGATTGGTAACTTTCATGAAATATGAACAAATATCAAAAATTGATTTGTTAATTCTCATATTAAGCCATGAAAACATATTCCAGTCTACTGACCTAAAATGAATTTGTGTCGCATGATTTGTGATACTTGATAACCCTTGGGTACAAGTTTCATGAAATTTGAACAAACACTCTGAGATTATGCCAAAAATTCAAAATCTTGACGTTGATGCCACAAAATAGTCTAAGTGTGTTGACTGACTGAAATGACGTTTGACCTTAAGTAATGACCTGAAATTCTACTCACATGATTGGGGGTATTTGATAACCCTTTAGGCCAAGTTTCATTGAATAAGAACTTATACTTTCAAAATGACATTAAAAATTAAAAGCTTAACCTCTGGTTAAGGTTTTGATGATGATGCCACAACATAGTCCAAGTTTGTTGACCTTAAATGATCTTTGACCTTGACTGAAATTCTACTAACATGATTGGGGATACTTGATAACCCAATAGGAAATTATATTACAAATTCTGTTGACGCCATCACAGGAAAAGTGTCGCCTACTATGTCTCGCTTTTGCTATGTAGGCGAGACAAAAAATTGTGTCAGATGCATGTGAAATAAGGCCTGGTAAGACCGTGATAATTGTAATGAACAATACATGTATATCCCAAATCACTCCCTAGTGTATACTGCGAAGAGACGTTTAAATTTGTTGACCTTGAAGAAATTTAAGTCGGAGCTTACCTGTAACTTATGGTCTCATTAATATTGCTCGGCAAGCGTTGTTTGTTAGGACAAGGCCCAGTGACAATATCTGATACATTTATTGCACTCATAAGGGCTGCATCCATAGTGTGTGGTTGATTGCTCTGTAATTTTTTTTTAATAATTTGGGTGTGACAAATTTTATTGTAATTATTGTAACATTAGATATCAAGTTCATGGTTCTCATTATCATTGAGGTCATTTTTTACTAGGGAGTTTTTTTTGCAAACATATTAAAATTGGTGAGGGGTTTAATGTGATGTTGGCGCACTTTTACTAGCGAGCTTTCGATTTAAGCACCCGACGTCAGCTACTACAAGGTACTGGAGACGTTGGCAGTGCTTTCGATTTGTTCACGTCGGTGCTTTCGTCAGTCATGTGACCAATTTTTTAGATCATGTGATTAAATCAGGTAATAAAATCACAGTGCGCCAAAATCTGATACGAATTAGAATAACATGATGACAGAAATGGAAAGTTGAAATGATAAAACAAAGCATAACATAAGAAAAGGTGATAGAAGGAAGAAACAAAGAATAACATAAGGAAAGATAAAAAGAGGAAGTGATAGAATGATGAAAACAAAGAATAACATAAGGAGAGACAGAAAGTGATAGAATGATAAAAACAAAGAATAACATAAGAGAAGGTGATGAAACTACACTCACGTTGACGTTTTCACGGCTAAAGCGATTCACGGAATTTGCCCCCGACTCCCGTCGGGTGATTTGGGAGGGAACATGGGCCCAGAAGCTCACGCATGCGCAGGGGATAAATATGACGTCACGCGTAGTAGCCCACGTCGGGTGCCTAAAATCGAAAGCTCGTGAAAAGATGCCCAAGTGTCGGTCCGGTGTGACTGAGGTATAAAGGGAAGTTCATAACCAAAAATAGAAAAAAACAATACACACAAAATTATTTAGATTGCAGTTTTTTTAATAGAGGATATCTCTCTGTTCAATATATGTACAAGTATAAACACAATATACACACACACACACAAAATAGTTATCCACATTATTACTTAACAAATTCTTTGACAAAAAATATTGTTCCACATATAATATTCATTTCGTATCATATTTACATTAAGGGCATTAATATCCAGTTTCACACAGATAATAAGCAAATGAAACGGTGAAATAAATGTTTGTTGTTTTCCTGAAAGATGACAATAAAAATAAAATTGCATGTGTGAGCTCTCTCTTTTGCAATATATCTGCAGAGATGCCAACTTTTGGAAAACAGAAATAGGGAGGATTTGTAACCGACACCAAATACATCTCGAGCGCGTAGCGCCCGACCCATGCAGCCGGGGTCCAGGGCCCGCCTTAGGGCCCTGGAAGCTCTGGGGTTCTAGATGCTCTCTGGTGCATTCTGAGCCTTATTTTGGAACATTTTACATGTGTATTTAGTTAAATAATTCCCACTTTTTTTTAAAAATAACATACAAATTGCACAAAATGCATGATGAATTCCTTTCAGAATTCAGACTTCAGAATACACGGGTACTTGAAACTGTTTTCGGTCTTATACTTCCGAGACCATTTCTTGGTTTACTTTTGCTGATTTTCCGCCATTTGGATTCTGTATCAATATCCATGCATTGGTTACGGCGATCCATATGCTGAAACAATCTTTCGCTACGCTTAATTTGTCTTTTAACATAGTGAAATTACTACATGCTCAAGTTAGCAAACAATATTTCTCATTCAATTCACAGATATATATACTGATAAGCGCCAAAAAAAAAACATAATTAAAAAAAAAAAAAAAAAAAAAAAAAAATGATTTTTTTTTTTTTTTTTTTTTTTTAATTTTTAAATCGGGAGGATAAGGATGGAGATCGTAAGGTCGGGAGTTGGGGTGTATTATCGGGAGCCTCCCGATGAAATCGGGAGGGTTGGCATCTCTGTATCTGATATGGATTAAAATGATGTATCTGAAAAATAACATGTAGCTATTTATATGAACTACATTTTATACAAAAAAACACATTTTCAGATGTAACTTGTGTCAACAGCTGAAATGTGTTTTACAATACAATAACAATATATGCAAGATGTTAGTAAAGGGGGTAATATAAATGTGTTTTCTAGCAGCTAGCGCTTCTCTTACAACTGAAAAACAGTATTTCTGGGATACTAACTTACCGCTTTGTCTTAACTTTAAACACACACTCACACAAACACAGTTTAATTCCTACTGATGCTTTAAATTGCATTGGAAAAGTTGGATACAATCTTTTCACATAATTTGTTATCATGATAACAATAAATCATTGAGTGAATGACAGGTTTAGTAGTAGTTTTCTGAAACATAACATTTAAAAATTTCAAAAATTTGCAAAGTCTAGACTTAAGAATGTGAGAAAAGAAAATCCTTCCTAATTTCAGTCATTCCCCCCCCCCCCCCCCCCCCCCTTACAGATTTCAAGAGGTCGGTCATGCAATTTCCTGTGTATTAATTGGCTTTAATACTAAAATAAGAATTTCACTTATAATACTTTCCGTTTCTCCATTCTTAAATTTGAATATAAAGTATTTAGATACATGGATGTATGAAAGCAATATCCAAGCTGAAATAATTCCGACAAATAAAAACTAAACAAAGTGTACAGCCTACAATCTGATGATCAACCTCTTAAAGCTAGTAATAAAAACAAGAGTACAAACTTCTGGATTTAACCTTTATGTCCATAATATTTTTGTTTTCCATTTCATATCGTTTTGTTAAAAAAGACAGAAAAGATACAATCAGCACCAATTTATAACAAAATAAACTTCATGTCATGAAAATAGAGAGACAAGCATTACCAAGACAGGCGTTACCTGGAGCCCCATTCAGACTTGGGCGCAGTAAACCGCCTCAAAAGCAAATGGGACATTTAGTGGAATGTGTCCTGCACGACATACCGTATGTCTTTTCCCCCACATACATGTATATCATCCAAGAACGTCTTGATATGTAAATTGGATTTAGTGCTTTCTAGTATCACTATTAGTAATGGTCATATCAAATGATTTATGAATGAAATATATGGATACATGACATATGTTGTATGGTACATGGAGTCGCTGTAATGCAGACATGAAAGTGTAAATGATTGGTAAGGTATGTAAGTTAGCAAAATGAAGTGGCACATAAAGGCATGTCCCAAACGCCCAATGGAAGATAGTGGAAAATCATCAATTTTAATTTCTTAGAGACAGAACCATTATTGTGTGTTTTGAGCCAGAAGGGCTTTAATATAACAATCTCCTGGATCCAAACAGATGATGTAAGAACATAGACCCGATTAGGCTAAATAATACCCAAACTGTTGACCAGATACATGTATTAAAGTAAGATTATAATTTTAGATGCACCAGCATAGCTTACTAACGTGCCTTTAGCATTCTGGTTGTGTCTTTTCATGCCAGGTTACATGTACCAGAGGCAATGCTGTAGGGG